TTCTCTTCAATATTGTCTTTTACATGTTTACTGTCAGGGTTGCCATCTGTGGGAGCTACCATTGTATTGCTACTAGAAGTGGTACCTGTGAATTATGGACAAAGAAAAAGACTGGGTAATAAAAAAGGAAAGCAGTCTTAAGCACTATACAATGACTGTTATTTACTTGTCCATGCCAAGAGTCCTAACCAGGTTTACACTACAGCAACGGGCACAAATACAAACTGAGCCACAAAAATTACTTTCATACATAAGAAAAAAATGCTGTTTAGACTAAAAGATTCTGAGCTGCTACTATAATTTCACTAACTGGAAAAAATCAAAAGAATCCATTCCAGGAATCCCTGAGTCTTCAATGTAAATTAAATAGAAAGGCTAGTTTTTGAAGCAGGATCTAGAGACCTATTTCTTCCTTTCCTGTAGGCTATGCCCTGTAGTAATCCGTAAAATGTAGTTGGACTTTGGCATGCAGTTAATTTAAATCACAAACAGATTAGGGATTAAAACCTAACAGCCTGCAGTGAAGCTTGTATCGTATCAATTTATTTTTAAGAGAAACTTGCAAGCATCACACTGAATAGATGACCACAATCAGAAATAATTTTGCACTCTCCCCACAGATTTTGCTACTTGCAATTAAATTTAAGTGCAAGAGCCCCATAATTTTTTTTAACCTTTTTAAACACTTCGGTGAACAAGTGCCAATGCATCCACCTTGTGATCCAGATAATCCCTATGTGACAGGTCCAGGCTGTTTCATAACATTAACAGCTTTTGCAGCAGAAAAGCTAAGCCCTTGTTTAGATACCCTTCCAACCATGTCTTTGGTGGCTCACTTTGAAAGATGCTTCACCAAAACCAGACAGCTTTTCCCCACATTTCTCCTCATGTTCTTGGATTGAAGTGTGAGGTAGACACTTTTTATATTTTCAGTGGAGGCTTTTTTGACCATTGACCTATTTGTAATTGTTTCTGAATAAATTCTCCTACACACGTTCACTTAAACACTCTTCAATAAATTCCTACAGATGCAGCTTGTGTCTATAAAAGAAATTAAAATATAACAAATTACATGGATTTAAAATTATATAAATTTTCCCAGTTGTTTGACTGAATTGACATAAAAGTGTAAGGGTAAACAATGCAAGATCTGAACATAATACATATATTAGTACAAACCTGATTTTTGTGAACCTATCAGATGTTCTTTCAGACAAATGCTGTGTACACCAAAAACTGCAGATCTTGTAAAACAAACCTTGTACCTTAATCTATTTTTAGGAACAGAACACTGTACTCCTACTGAATATTTACACATGAACTCCAATATTATAGCCGACTGACAATAGCATGTTTATAAATGACAGTAATAAAAGTTTAAGTTGATAAATTCTCACCTGAAGTGACAGAGGGGATCTTGTAACTGGAAGTAATTCGGTAATATGGTGGATTATCCATATGGGTGACTCCGGAACTGACGGGATCTGTAAGCTGAAGTTCACTCACCAGCTCTTCTAGTAGTTGCATTGTTTTATCTCTACCCAAATAAACTATAACTTTCTTTACCTGCCATCAAAAACAAGTGTATGTATGTAAAATACATAAATAAAATTCTTATTGCAATGGCTTGATTCAAAAAAAAAAAAAAAAGGAAAATAAGAGATGTCAACTCCAGAACTTTTTAGAATCAGTATCTATCTGCACTGCAAGTGAGGATACTTGAAACTTACTCTCATTCTAAAAGCACACAAAATTGCTTTCACAGGTGTCAATAGCAGCAAGCACTGGAAACATATCACAAGTGTAAGAAAGTCTTTTGAGTTCAATGACAGTTGTTTAAGAAGCAAAATGTTTTCTAAAAAATGTTTTAGCAAAATCTGAGGTCAAAACTGGAGTGCAGGTACTCGGATAATTTCTTTTTGATACTTCACAGTTGTGTTCTACACTATTTATTTTCCAGTAGATATAATATTTTTCCTCATGTTATTCTGCAGTGCTCTCACATAAGCTTTGGTAAAAAATAAAATTGGTTTTGAGGGGGCTTGAGGTGGGGTTTTTTTTGTTTTAATACTTGGTCATGTGAGAATAATCACACTGTCCCTACGCGGCATGACAGATGCTTTATTTTACCATATTATCTGTCTGCTTTTTAGGACTATCCCAAATTATATAATGGGAAAATACATTTAATTCCCAAATGCTCATATACTCTGATAAGAATAAACACCTAACTATAGCAATATTTTATTAAGCATATAGCATTTAAGCACTCTTCACTACATCTTACTTCAGCAAAATAATCTTCATCACTGCTAAGCAGCAGCAGATGGCTGCTAGTCACTGATTACTCTAGACATCAGTAAGTTCATGTTTTTTCTTCTGACATTTTCTTGAGTCATTAACACTCAATGATTTATATCTACCCTTTTGAGAGAACTCAAAGACGAACAGTAAGCAAGTGATCCAAAGCATCTGATTCATGGAATTACTTTGCCATCTTGTTCAAACTGTACACTCAAAGATTTTGGGCTGCAACAATGAGCTAGATTTCCTGATTTGCAATGAGAACAATTGTCAATCAATGAAGAACTTAAGCTGTCCTTAGTAAGAACTTAGTATTACAGGTCCTGATTGTTTACTTAATATTTAGGTTTTTGGACTATTAGCAAAACCTGTAATAATTTTCTAATGAAAATATTACTTAGGGAACTATCTTAATTCTTCCTAAAGAACGGAGACCAAATGCTCAGTAGATTTGCATTTTATGATGGAAAGGAGTCGTTCAGTGTATACTCCTAATAAAATGAAGCTAAATTTAGCAAACTCTTAAGTTTCCTTTTTATGACAAAGGAACAAAAGAATGCTAAGACAGATGCAGACATTTTAATGTCTTTTCCATTTTTTATTATTTACTTACTAAGGTTGATGATCCAACTAGTATACCCTGAATTTTGACAACTCGTATCTGATAAGACAGCTAGTGAACTGGTTCAGACTTACCATCCTGACTAAACTACAATAGTCAGAAACTTACCTTAAGGAAGCCTTGGGTATCTTTAAGGTACAATATTCTTTCTGGTTTATTTCCTTTCTCAAGCTCATTCCATAAATGCCAGGTTTAACAGAATACTGAAATTTCAACATATATGTCCAAAGTAACTCAAACAAAAAAGAACTGAACTGGACTTGCTCATAGTATTTAGAGGTCATAAAACATGGTGTGACACTATTATGTGTTTGGAGATTTTGATACTAGAAACCATACCTCACATTTTTTGTTTGGTCATCTTTGCTGCTAGACACACAACTAATTTTTAAAATATCAATAGCACTAAGGAGAGACATATCACATACTCACATAAGGCAGAAGGCTGGGTTCACTGTTCACTCCACAGATACTGATTAAGAAGTGCAAAATTATTTTCAGATTCTTTGGCCAGCTGTCTGCCAAAGTTGTCCAGACATTTTCTATCTCTGACCAAGCCACTTCATCACCATACTAGAAAACAAAAACAAATATCTCTCCTGAAAACTCCACTAGAAAACATTGTATTTGAAAGTCATCTGTACTGAACAAGTGGGACAGGCTCTAGAAAACTGAGACATAAATCTTGTAAGAAGCTGTTGCCTTTTCAACATTCCAGAATGAAGCTTTCATGTATATTCATTTTTATAAACACATTCTGGAAATAATTATTTTATTTTATAGTTGTAAATATATAATAAGATATCTAAACATACCTGTATGTAAGTATACAAATATTTATGTGTGAATTTAATTATATTTTTATGTATTTATTTACATATAAATTTTAAAAATCTATCTACATTTAGCAGAGACTCATTATCTCAGTTGTTGACAATCCTGAAGAGAATTCCATGGACGACAGGCTGCCAATAGTTCTTAATTCACAGCTTAAAATGTGAACTTGCATCAGCGGGATTCAAAGACACGAAGAACTGGCAGGAGGACTGCATGTGATCCAATGCTTTTTCTCTGTTGGAAGGAGCTAACACATGAAGGAGGAGGGTCTATCAGCCTCTGGCAACAAGATCAGTTCCTGCACTCCACTTTGAGATCACAGGTTTTAGTAGTTTAACAGGCAACTTGGTATTATCAGCTATCCAGCTAGACATCTGTATTGCAAAACATCAGCTACATACTGTCTCTATAGATAACAATTATTGCAACATTTATATTGCATATTACAAATTTCTCATAATACCTCAAAACTATATGGTATAGTTGGGTTACACAATAAGCAATTCCACAAATACGAACAATAACTCTTGAAAACTTGGTAACACAGTATCTCTGGAGAGTATTTTCTCCCACCCTAAATACAACAATCCACTGGAACAAGATGGAGCACTTCAGCAATTAGTTTTACCTTTGCAGTCATATACATCAGATTGTTCAGAACCATAGCTGTAGCCTGTGGTGACCCCCAGCCTTCTCCTCGTAGCCATCGTCTACTGTTCACCATTATTTCTCTGTCTTTCAAAGAATCATCTTCATCTTCATCTTGCCGATGAATCGTTGGCAAAGGTTTCAAGTCTACCAACTCAATGTTGTTCATCCATGGCAGCAGATAATGCAGCATCACCTGTCTCCCAGCTGGGTGAGCCGTTTGGATTCTCTGACTTACTTCTGTCATTCAGAAATTAGGCACATACATGAATTAGAATGGTTAGGATCGGAAGGGACCTTAAAGATCATCTAGTTCCAATCCCCCTGCCTTCAGCAGGGACACCTTCCACTAGACCAGGTTGCTCAAAGCCTCATCCAGCCTGGCCTTAAACACTTCCAGGGAGGGGGCATCCACAACTTCCTTGGGCAACCTGTTCCAGTGTCTGACCACCCTCACAGTGAAAAACTTCTTCCTAATATCTAATCTAAACCTGCCCTCTTCCAGTTTAAACCCATTTCCCCTTGTTTTGTCATTAACTGCCCTTATGAAAAGTCCTTCCCAGCTTTCCTCTAGGCCCCCTTCAAGTATTGGAAGGCTGCTATAAGATCTCCCCAGAGCCTTCTCTTTTCCAGCTGAACAGCCCCAACTCTTTCAGCCTGTCTTCATAGGACAGGAGCTCCAGCCCTTGGATCATCCTGGTGGCCTCCTCTGGACTTGTTCTAACAGGTCCAGGTCTCTCTTCTGACAGGGGCTCCAGAACTGGATGCAGTATTCCAGGTGGGGCCTTACAAGAGTGGAGTAGAGGGGCAGAATCACCTCCCTCGACCTGCTGGCCACACTTCACTTGATGCAGCCCAGGATACGGTTATTGGCCTTCTGGGCTGCAAGTGCACATTGCTGGCTCATGTTCAGCTTCTCATTCACCACCACTCTCATTATTGCAAATCAATAATGAGAATGTTTTGGTAATAACAACCATAAACCCAGCAGACCATACCGATACAAAGTAATGCTGATACAGATAATTTTTTTTTTTTTGTTTAGCTGACTTGTGCTATGTCACAATGATAAAGTCCACAGTCTTCAAGAGCTAATTAAATAAACCATATTACTATATGCATATACATATTCCTCTAATTGGAGGAAGGAATTGAACACCTAGAGCAGGTAAAAATCTTTGGCAAAAAAGCACTTAAAATTTTTTCTTGCTCATATTGGTCCTAGTAGGTTTTTTTAAATTAATGTTAAGAGGTTATTATTCTACAATTGATTAAAAATGCTATGGAATAATATTTTTAAGCAATCTACAATAAATAAGAAAAAAGTAGAAAGAACAGAAGAATAGGTTTCAAAACCAGTTGCAAATTATTTCTTTAACTTGATTTTTCATGGCTATTAGAAAGTCACTAAAAGTATCTTTGATTCACGTGGCTTCCTCTTGAATCTATTTCAAATACAAGTAAACAAAAATCATCACTCAGTAAATTCCACTTTCTCCATTGATTATGATGATATCTTGTTGTCCTGATTTTAGGGAATTAGATATAAATTAATTATTGAAAAATAAGACTTACACATTTTGTACAATGCTTTTGACCTGATTAAGTTTTTGTTTCAAAACCATACCTGAGAAGATAGCAAGTGTTAGTTCAGGATAAGTCCTTGCTAATTCTTCTGACAGTTGGTAATATGACACAGAATACAGATGTGGTAAAGGAGAAGGCTGACCCAAAACCCCATCCGTCCGCTGAACTTCCAGTTTATGAGCATAACGGAACATCTTTGGTTCCAAGATCTACAACAGTAAAGTTCAGAATTTGAAGCTAAAAATGGAGCTACAATGGAAATTTTTATAAAAATTACCTTTTAAATTCACATATCTACTCTCATTTAATGTTTCCTATATATGCAGATCTCCATACATCTACAATTACAATATTCAACAACACTGTGGTAATTTCATAGAAGACTAGGTAAGACTCGCACCACCTGCTGAGTTTCCAGCAGTAAATTTCGGAAATCCACTTTCACAAAATACCACATTAAATACAAATTTCTCCATAACAAAACAGGAAATACTATTGTATACTTGTTTTTCCAAACAATATCAATTTCCGCTCATCTATGAGACATGGATAGGAGCAATGTGATCTTTAATGCAGCAGAGATGCAGCAGGAGGCTAAAGCAGTTTGACACTTTAAAAGTCAGTTTTGGCTGATCTTAAGCAGCGGTGTTCACCTGAGAAGAAAGATGGGGCTAAAAGGGAGGGTGGTGTGAGTGCTGACATATCAACAGGGGTGTGACTTCAGTGGGGATTTTACTGTTGAATTTAGCTGACAATAAAAACCTCCAAGATGCGTGATCTGAGCCACAAGCAGCATAGATTTATTTATTTTTAAGCATGAATGCTGCCCGTAAGATTAAGCCTACCCCTAAATGACCTCGGAAAGGTATATACAAAAGTAAATTAAATGGCTAACAAGATTTTCACTATCATCTCTCCACACAGATGGAAGAAAAAATGTTTGGTATTAATGCAAAACTCAGAAAACTGACTGCTACCCAAGCAGATAGAGTAAAGGGACAGGAAGCACTCTCTGAAGTGCTTTTGGACAAATGGAGCTATATACCACTCTGGTTCAGGGCCAAACCAGAAGAATCTTTATTTAGGTTTTGTCTCTTGAAAAAGCAGATATTATGAAAATAGAAGTCTTGAGTGCTTAGTTCATGAAAACAGACACACTTCCACTGAAGTCTATTTGTGCCAAGTAAAGATCTGGCCTGACTATGCACTAAAATAGAGAAGAAAAAAAAATTGTATTTCATTACTGAAGGGACAACCAAATAATAACAGATTTTTTTTTTTTTAACTCCACAGGGATATTCTTATTTTAAAAGAATAAAAAAAATATCCAAAGTATCTTACAAACCTGTAATAGTTGCATAGCAACTTCATAGATAGCCCTAGTAGAATCAGCTGCTTTAAATAGTATCAGATTCAGGAGGGTCACTGTATCACACTGGTAATCCCTAGGGAAAAATTTCAAGTATGAAATAAGTGAAATTACATTTGTCTGTTTAAAATTTGAATTTAATAAAGTTTAATATACAGGGGATATGGTATCAGATAACATAACATTTTGAAAAACTTCTGTAGTAACCCATACACACAAACAGGGATGATGTTTTCTCTTATAGGGAGGAAAAAAACTAGTTCTACATGAAATCACACTTTGACAAGGAAATTTTAAAGTTTAAAAAATTGCTGTAGTACCTGTTTTGGAACACACTGGCTATGGCTTTAAAACAGCCAGCTGCTACCCGCTTGGAACCTGTGTAACACCGGTCTACGGCCCAGTACATGAGGTTACTCTGGTCGGGGTTGAGTTCCAAGAGCAGCATGACTGCCTCACAGCCTAGCTGATGAACCTGTATTCCAGAAAAGAAGAAATATATATTTATAAATACAGAAAAAAAGACTAACTTACAAAAATGCCATAAAATAGGGAAATAGGTATTTAGTATTAATATTAAAAAACCAACTGCAATACACAAAATGTGTGCCCTCTAAAAACGAGACCACACCTTAAAATAACAACAAGTAATTCTATCAAACTGCTTAATGTTCAAATTGCACACCAAGTCGTAAAATATTGAAGCAAATAACTAGATAGCTCTACTGACTTTTTTTCCCCTCAGTCCCAAGGCTACCTTGAGCTATTTACTATTTTCACTTACAAGTTGAACACTGACCTGAAAGCATCAGATACAGAAAAGCACTTAAACATATTCGGGAATTCCAGCGAGATTCAAGGGATAGATCTACATGGAGATTTGTACATTCTCTTGAATTGAGGTAGCCCACTGGAGCTGTGTTTTTATGCAGTCATAGGATTAGTGCAACAGAGGCCCCATCTTTTAAATCTAAAGCTTGCCTTACTGTTTAGAGGTAAAGCTTGGTCTTTATAACTCCGCACGACCCCCAATGGGCTCTACGGTCTCACAAGAGATCATGTTCAAAATCTTGTATCCTTTAAATTTCTAAAAGATCTGCTTATTATTACAACTTAACCTAGCTGATTAGTTTATAAACAATAAGCAGTGTTTCACTCCTTGCCCTATCCTCTTCCATTCTGTCTATTTAACTTTGACTGTGATTAGGGACGGCCTTCCTCAACAGGGTGAATACACATACCAAGGACAGTGCAAAAATACACACTATCAAAACTAAAACGTTTAGCCCAGTTTGACCACAAAACTCACTAAAGCATATGCTGAAGGCACTGACAGTTGCAAACCAAAGTTGATACTTCCTGTATTACCTTTTTATCTTGTGAATCCAAAATATTATCCAGCCATTTGTATAAATAGCCATCAGATGAGAGCCCGACGTTATCTGCAACAGGGCCACAACACAGTACAGCAGACATGGCCTTTAGAAAGTAATTGAAAAACACTATATTTTAATAACGTAGATACAAGAAATGTTTTTTCCAAGTCCATTAAAATATCAGAAAACTAAGTTGTATTCAGTCAAGGAAGGAAGACTAAGGCTAATAAAAAAAACCTGTTTAACATCTTATTCAAGAAATTATCAAATAATATTTTTCTCAACTCCCAAATACAAGGAATTGTCAATACTAAAATGCTGACATATGTCAGAGTTAATATGTCAGTTTGATGGTTAATGTACTTTTACATGAAAGCTTTTCTTCTTCGGCAACTGAGGACTAAAGTCAAAAGAAGGGAACACTAAGTAGTAATTTTAAGAAATTCCTATAGCAAGTGAAATAAGTTTACAGTATGGAAAAGCCAAACTGTCATAAATTTACATGTTGGCAGAAGAGAAAAAGAACTAAGTAATGAATGCCAACAAGAATGTGAAAACCAGATCCAAAAAGCCCAAATATTAAATTTGCATTAGAAAAGTAAACATAACAATCTATTTCCAAAATTCAGAAAGTGCTAAAATACCTTTAATGCACAGTATTGGTGTCTATTTATTCGCATGTTCCTATCACTGTATCTGTCCAGGGGAGTAAACATGATACTAAAAGGACCTGCCCAATGACTGAACAACATAAATAGACTGTGGCGTAGACTCTGTTGCGGAAAGACACTTCTTCTCTGGTGTACTGTAAGAAAAGTACACAGTTAGACACACTCCTCTTGTCATTCTTCAAAATAAAGTATGTAAACCAGAAACAGACTCAAACAATTAATATAAAAGGAAAAATCAATGTAAAGATACATTATTTCAACACCATAATAGCTGGATGTAGGTTTACTATTGTCCTGTTTAATGCTGCTCATGTACAAGAATACACTATTTACTAGTCTAGAAAATTTAAACGCACTGCCAAGGAATAGTACTTTTGCTAAATAAGAAAATTACTTGTATGCTTCCAAACAGTACCAAAAACCCCTCTTAAAAACTCATGCTGCTAAAGTTATATTCAAAACTGATGGCGTAAATTATTTTTGTGAAAGAATTCTGAAACTTCAGAAGAAAAGTGGATTTTTGTTTGTTTAATTGAGTGTGGTCATTTTTATTTTTTTTAATGTATTGCATATTAAAGACAGTCAGCAGAAGTTATTAGAGCGTTTTTACATACCTGGAACATTTTGAATTATATTCGCCACTAAGGCACTAAAATGGCATCGGATATCTTTCAATGTATCAGAATCCTTTTCATTTTCTGCTTCTAGGAGTTGTCTTGTTAGATCAACGTACTCAAGTAAAGTGTTGTTGAGGGAATGTGTTTCGTTATCAAGGCCACCGCTTGCACTTAAAAATAAATTTTTTAAAAATCAAGTAGTATCATAAATACATACAACAATTTTTTAAAACAATCCCTACTTTTTTCCACTTTTAAAAAAACTACCACCTCATGACTGCAAACATTTAATTTAATTTCCTCAGCCATTTTCTATTTCAGTGTTAAATAAAAATTTCCAGTGAAAGCAAAGTAATCAAAGCCTCACTATCAGACGTCACTCACCCTTCCATAGTTTTTATACTGGGAACAAGAGTAAATAATAAAAAACTCCCAGACATCACTCACTCGTCCATAGAATTAGTTCCTATACTGGGAACAAGAGTAAATAATAAAAAACTCCAAACAACCAACCCCCCATTCCCAACCATGCAATTTCTAAACCAGAAAATATAGTAACTGCTACTTGACTATAGACATACGTACTTACATACTGATTTTTGGGAGTCAGTCAAGATGTTCAGTACTTCATGACATACTATTGACTATTAGCAGATGAAAGCAATTTACTCATTTTATATATCCATTTCCTATCTTCATTGCTTTAGCGCCTGACTAGATGTCATTACTAAACTAAATAAGGAGACTAAAGACTGCATGTGATTCAAACCTGCCCTCTTTTGAAAAGCAGTTGTCAGACGGGCAATTCCTTTCCCCATCTTTCCACATTTGTACTGAAGACAACTACAAAGCTTGCCTTGCACACCAAAGGCAACACGAGGTGGTTTATGGTAGCCCTTAATTGCTTCCTAACTTCTGCCACAAAGTCAGACTGGACTCAGAGAGAAAAGCTGACAAAGTTCCAGGGTGCAGACTATGGTTAGGAGGTATTTTAAACACCAGCGAGCGCCTTAAAAGCTAAGAAGGGAGAGTACGATTTTAATGGCTGCACTCTGAAAACTCAGCATGCCAAAATCAAGAAAGGCATTTTAGCAATGCTTCTGAAGCAACATTCTGAAATATACTGTATTAGCTTGCTTAAAGATTAAGAATTTCACACTGATTACATTGCTGAGGTTGACAAATAAATATTTAAATATCATTGTCTAACAGAAGGGGAGAAGTCAGCATAACCACCTCCTAGCCTGCTTGCTCTTATATAATTCCACCTGCATAGAAAAAAATTGTAAGAGACTTGTAAAACGTATGCCAGAATTTTAAGTCTTCTTTCAAAGTGTCCCTACACAAGTAGGGTAAACTGAGAAAAAAAAAACAACCACCCTGTTAAAATTCTGTCTGCCTCAGAAAGAAAAAGGTCCAATATTAATAAACAGTAGTCTTCTCTGCATAAAACACGCTGACTAGCAGGTGTCCTATGCAGGTGAGGAAGAATTCCAGACTGATTATAGAATAGTTGTAACTTGCATTTTCTGATTCAAGGGACTGGTGCGATATTTGAACACACACAAACAAAAAGGAACGTGACACACTGCCTGTTCGAAGCAATGTCCCAGGGCATAGAGCATTTTAAATAAAACACAGACCGCTGTGACAAAAACCATGGGAGACGGAGGGATTGGAAAGCCAGCAAAATTCCAAGTTTTATAAAACCACATCTATTTATTTAGTGGTATACTAAAACTCACTGAAGAATCTTACATGCTTGTTATACTGGGTCATAAGAATACTAGTGATTTAACTCAGAAGCCATGAACAACAACACCTCATCAGTACTGCCCCTACCTGTGACTAATGACACCAGCATCTGCCAACAGTTCAAATATTCGTACTAGTTGTACTCGTAAAATATCTCGACGCCTGCGCCGTTTCATGTTCTGTTCAACAGAGGAAATACAAAATTAAATGAAGCAGAGGAAAAACTAAGTATAAAAACAGCACGGCATATAAAAGCATTATTATATCTGTATCAAAACTGGCATCAATTATCAGGGGTGCCAATGTTTTAACATGAGTTACCAAAATTGCTAGCAATTTTAATAAACAAGAAAATTAACAGAATTTTTCCCTGTTACAACTCCAAGATATACCAGGTTTGCTATTACATGTATTATCTGAACAGTATGTTTTTATCAGTCTCCTGTCGCAAAGCACAACACAAAACAATGAACTGAAGTACAAATGCCAATCTATCTACATATTTGCATGCAAGGGTGACTAAACACACTACATCCCAGTAACATTTTGAAACAGAAGTGATATGCCTTCCTATAATCAGTACTTAGTCACCAATTTATTACTAATACGAATATGACAGTCACCACAAAAAATACTGAGTAATCATCTCTGAGTTTGTGTTTGCAGAGATTATTTTTATGAATACATACTGAGACTTCTAAACCCTGCTGTAAAATATACTCTCCATCAAAAAAGTAATAAATAGCAGCCAGTCAGGTGGGCTTGCAGTCTTTTTCATTTAAAAAAATAAAGTTGGTAGACAGGAGAACTCCATTCTATGTCTTAGGCACCACTAATTGCGGGCATGTTACTGATGATACAACAAAGTAACAACTGTGTAAAACTACGCTTTGGTAAAAGGAATTTAAAGAGTGAGGAAAAGGTTAGAGTAATTTTTTCATCATTTGAAACAAAATCTCTTTGATACAGGAATAATATAGAGCTCAAAACAAACACAAAGCTTTTCTAATGTAACCACTTCACAATCTTTTAAAAAGTAACATCTCACCTTTTTATCTGCTATACTGACAGTTTTTAGTTGCAGAAAGTAAAGAATAGAACTAACATTTCTTTACTACCATTGGTGAGAAGACAGTTAAAACTATGTAATGAATATAATGAAAAATATCTAATTACCTCTGGCCTTCTTTCAAGTGCTTCCTTAATTATAGGATGTAATTCTTCTATTAGTTCTCTGAATTAAAATAAAAACAACCATTAAACAACATTAACTGAAAGATGTTTCACAGCAACTAGTGTTACAATATAGCTTAAAACACCCTTAGGTTTTAGTTCTTTACCTGTAGGCTTCTGAAATAAATTGGTATTTAAAAGAGATGTTTCCTAGAAAGTTATTTTCCTAATTTAAAGACAGACTAGCAAACGGATGTCTCAATGATTACCACTAAATTTGCATTCACCAAGTATTACGGCATATTTCCATCACAGATTATTTTAATTTATTTTCATATTCAATGAAAACAAAGCTTTATGGTGCAAACAGATACTATTAGAAAAAAAAAAAAAAAAAGGATGTTGGCAGCTTATGATATAATGCTCTTTCAGTTGTTATGATGCATTCATTTGTTACAAAAATTGTTTCTTTAAGGCCAATAATGCTACGCTGACAGAAGTCAGACTAGCCTCTATGAAAACTGAAAAGCAACAGGCTTTGCTGCTGTGGTTACATTCCCAATTTGTTCTGGAGCTCCACAGTCTTTATTACTACTCAGTTCTTTCTGCCAAACCAAGACTCTCTTACAGTGCCAAAAAGTGGGCAGGGAAAGGGGAAGAAATCAGTAGCATGGATCTACACAGACAAAATACTAAGGTGAAAACATATTGCTTTTACTTTATTTAGTATTTGTTAACGTAGTAACTACCGCCTCCACTTTAGATTTGCTGGAGTGTGATACATTTTTCTACTTCCTGTGCTATTGTAATACAGCCATATCAAAAGCATAAACCACTTTTTCATGGTAAATGACTGACTCCTCTGCTACGTGATTCAAAGGTCCTCCTTCAGACAATGGGTCCAGGTGATCAGAAAGCTGCACAAACTTTTGCAGTGCGCAAGAGACTTAAGTATGATTAGGGATTATTTTATACTTACTTTCAAATGTAGAAAACACAGAAAAAGAATTTGGAAGAAGCTTTTTTTTTTTTTTTTGGTAAAACATAGTAAAATGTTAGCTTCCAATCGAAAGCAAGGGACACCTAGACAAGTTAATGTGATCAGTATACAGAAAACAAAAGAGCAAAAGAATATTCTAGCAAGTTTGAGTGGATTGCATATACATATAATCTATAATGAAAAGTTCCCAAGTAAAACGTACAAAGTGGGGAGGAACAGTGCTCAAAAAAGCAAAAACAAAACAACAAATCAGTGGAGAGCTGCAATGGTGAAGGATGGGCTACAGCTAGCATCTGGTGTGGCTAAGTACATTGGACAGATGGCAAAAGCTAGTTGTCAGAAACAAAACATATAATTCAGAACAAAGAAATCAGAAGACCGATGAGAATCAGATATGTATGTTTGGTTTTTTTAAATGTTTGCTGAATTAATTTTTTCTAATTTAGAAAACAAGGATTTCTGGTGAAATCCCTTCTGAAAGCACTTTCTAGACTTGTGCAATTATGATTTAAACTGTTCAGTTGATCTTCAGGGTCATGGGACAAAGTCTTGCTTTACTCCTGGTAGGACAGTAAAGTCATGTATGATTCACAAATAGGAGATTATCAAAGGAGTAAAACAGAATTCTGTAACTAAGGACTTGGCATTACGGTTTCAAATACATCTTTGGCTCCTCATCTGCCATAATACGGGACACAAGTGATTGGAGAGCAGCAGCATCTCATTCAAAACCAGGAGCATTAGTGACTCCTGGTTTCTTCCGCAGAAGCAGAGTTGGTTGCTATAGCACGATACAGCTTCATAACTCTCCACTGTAAGAGACTGGCTGCTGTCAGAGAACATCTGATGCTGAGCACTGGCCTTCCCAGGAAGTGTTTTTCCCCTCAGATGTTCGCCCTCTTCATCCATTCCCCATAAAAAAGAAGGCTGTCAGCTGAGGACAGTGGCATAGAGATGCATTTTTAAAACTCCTGGCTTCCTGGCATAGAGCTGCCTTTTCACCTCAGTGGATTCATACTACACATTGACAGTACAGTACACTAGGATTTGAAGAAAAGTGAATTTCAGTTGAGGTAGCCATAACAGCCAGGTAGACCATTTTGAATTCAACATTTATATTAAGACTTGTCACAACAGGGTAAACAAAAGTTTTCAATTATGAGCTGAATCTAAATATGTTGAACATGATACATGAAATTAAATTGAGAGAACAAGTGACTTAGCACAGATTTAATTTTGCTACAGTAGATCACAGTTACCAGCAACCATACTGATCCACATGGACTGTGATGTGTTAGTCATGAAGTTACAGAAAGTTTACTCAGGAAAAAAAAAAAAAAAGAAAAGAGGGGGAGAGGGATGAACCATAAATTTCAGGAGCTTCAGCACTAGTCAGAAAACAGTTGCAATTGGTATTTTTTTCACCTTGATCAAAGAATCTCTTTTTAGTTTACAATTATCAAGAATCTCCTACACACAAAGATCTCAAAAACACGTTTGTTAGCAATACCAATAAGGAGAGTTTAGTAACTCTTACAAATGTGATTATAATTAACATTTCAAATGTTAATAGTATACAGTCTGTTCTTTTGTATAAGGGCAGCCTTTAAAACCAATAAAAGGCAGCTGTTTATTGTTCCAACTAACTTCTTTTTCTTTATGCAGACATGACTTCTACATTAAATTATTTCAACCTCTAATAAACTTTATCACACTACTAAATGCTAGAAAAATACAATAGTAATCAGTTTTCACAGCTTTTTAAAAATTCTTAAAAGAAAGAAAAGCAAACCTTTTTTCTGAGCTCTGATTCCCCAGCTTCGTAACCAATTAGCATAAAAACAGATGAAACACAACAGTTACCTAAAAGCTCCTGGGTTGGTCCTGCCAAGTCCCAGCACAAGGGATTCTGTAATTTCCATGCTCTCAGAGCGCATCATTGGAACTATGTGCTTAAACAGGGAGGAAGGGGATGGAATGCCAATGATCTAAGAAGAAAACCAGAATAAACCAGAGTGTAGTAGTTATCAAACAATCAGGTATGACATTAAAACATCTGCTGTTATTTTACAGTCTTCTCACACTGATCAGTGACTTAAAATGATAAAAATTAAATTTTTCATCTATGACATGGAAAAACACTTTCTGAAATAGTAAAATAGTATTAACTACTTCTCCATTCCTCATATAATTGAATTTTAACCGTCAGATGACAATGAATGGCTCAATATGATAAACAGATGCTTTACATGTTTAGTGTATCTGCCCTCCTTAGGGAGTGGAAGCAGACTTCTGGGTCCAACCCCTTGGACTCCATTGTGGCTCTCGAATAGATTGAAGCTTTCTGTCTACAGTTTCTCAGATTTAGGGAAAGGATCTTGGTAACAAACAAATGGAATAGGCTGCTTCTGCCAAAAATCTGCTGCATAGTCCATGAGTTATTTTCACCTCTACTGTACCTTCTACTGGAAGCCAAAAAGGAGAAGAACAAAAAGAGGAAAAAAAAATAAAATCATGTCTGAATAGGTCACTGCTTCAGTTACTGAAGTGAGAGGCTATTTGCTCAGAATTGCAGAAGTTTACTGACAGCAAAAAAAAAAAAATCCCTCAATGGTAAACAAAACATTCCCTTATTACCACTAGATAAGACTTTGAGACTGGGTTAACATTTTCATGGCATGATCTGATTTTGCCTTAAAAAACATAAGCAGAAAAGCCTCCACAGCATGGACTGGGAGAAGTGAACAGAAACACTATCCTAAACGAAAGACAAATGTATATTAAAACATGTTTTCAGACAAATTACACAAGTTTCCAAGAATCATTACAGTTTTTATGAGGCTCAGGTGCTTTTACTTCCAATAGCACATAGACTTATTTAAAATTAAGCATTAGAAGAACCTACTCTTGAATCAATGCTATAACCACTGTCAGGAGTAGACGCCAGCGTCTCAGGAGGGGAACATCTCACAGAGCCTGTGGAGGTGGAGGAGTTTGAAGAAGATGCTGCACTGCAGCAAAGAACCAGGTAGTTTCTCCAGAGCCCAATATAGGAGTCACTGCTTGTAGTAGTATTCACTTTCTTTGCATTGATAGGGCTGCTATTATTGAAAAAAACCAAAACCAACAAAAAACAAACATCAAAAGCTCAGTATAGTAAATAAAGCTCACCAGGTTTCACTTTGGTTTCTACTCAGTTTACTTTTCAATTATGCATATGCCATTGCTTCCAAAATTGTTATCAAGGTAAACTCTGAATAAATTATTCAGAACAGTACATCAGTAATGTATGCTCTTATAGTCAAATCTGTTGAACTACAATATTGCTAAAGGCATGAATAAATTAATCTTCCTAGCAGATAACTTTTTTCCAGCTAGAACTACTTTAATTCTTTGTTATTAAACCCACAGAAAATATTAACCTCACTGAAACATAATGACATTACAATGATGACAAATCTTGAAAGAATACTCAATATAATATATTGTATTTATTTTAGAAATTAACTTACTTTATATCCACTTGTGGAGACAGCAGTTGGAGTCGAGTATAAGCAAACGTCCAAGCATAGCTTACAGCTGTTGGGCAGTGTTTTGGAAGATTTTCCTGTTTCATAAAACTTGAGAGGCTTATAATCCATGGATCTTGGCCTTGAGTCACATGTGCAAATATCCATATATGTGACGGACTGATCACATCAAACTGGTGGCTGATTGGGGAGGAATTCCAGTCAGCCAGAGTCTGCAAATCTATTGAACTGGGACAGTACAGTAAAGTAGTCTGTGTGCATTAAAAAAGAGAACAAAGCAATATTTAATACCCATGTATATTAAATAACTTAATTGTTAAATATCTAATAAAGTATTAGTGTCAAAACCACATTTGGAATAACTACAACATATTACTTAATCTATGGGTTTTTAAAAGAAGTTCCTAATGTGAGCAGTTTTATAAACATGCTGTTTGGGAAGCAACTGGATACTAGAAATAGTAAATTGTAGAAAAAGGCTCAGTGATTTAATTATCCCAAAAGATTCTGGAGTCTCAAAGTCTTACTACTGAATTCCAACTTGTTTCCTAAACCTAAAATCAGAAGACCTTCTCCTTGATAAGTTAAGGATAAAACATATAAACATGGAATTCAGTTGTTATTCATTGATAGTTATTATAGCTTTCATCAGGGATAAAGGACACATTGGCTGTTAAGACACTGTATCACTGCAGAAAAAGGCAGTGGCCTTTGCTTCAAAGAAATTGTAATCTATGAGCAAGATGAGAAAAAACAGATACAACTGTCTGTGTGTATATGGTGGTCATAATGGCACACTATTGGTCAGAAAGCATACAATGGTTGTATCAGCCTCACAACATTCCTCAAATTTTTGAGGCTTTTTTTTTCCCTTGGTTGGATTGGTTTGTTTGACTGGTTGGTTCCTTTAAGGTGATAAATTGCTGATAAAGTTAGTATGAACACAGTGACAGTACATAGTGACAGCATCATTTAAAAGAAATACAATTTATTTGGGACAGTTTTTCAGAATTACCTCATCTTACATCCAACTTAACATAAAAACACTTCTACCTGGTCAGCCCCAGTGAGATGTATGAAACTCTCCAGGATAGTAGCACTTAGTCTGTCCATTACATCTATAGCCAACTCATCATCACTCTACAAAAGAAAAAAAACACAAAGCACAAAAAGCAAAAAGAAAATCAAGAGAAAAGTAGTTTCATTAAGCAGTCACAAGAATGGGTCATTGACTCTTACCTTAGAAATTTCTAAAAGTGTGAACAAGGCCCTTATTTCTCTGAGAACGCTGACAGCTAATCTCCTGGTGGCAGGCCTTGTGCTGCAAAGGATGACCAAAGCAAAACCTTCCACCACATGAAATACACTGGAATAAAGGGTCCTCTCCAAAGGAAGGGTATGGGCAGCCCCATTGGATACACCACGCTAAGAAAAAGATCACAGAAGTTAAGCAAATTAAGAAAAAATGCAACCAAGCTATAGTGCCACTATAGGCTATGGCAGAATTTATCATAAGGTATTTAAATCTTGTTTGGCTACTAGTGAAATTTTGCATTATGAGAATGGCACGATAGCAGGGTTGGGTTTTTTTCAGCACCTCTCTGAATTCAGTCCAAACAAGTATCACAAGAAAGTCTTTCTTCTTTCACTTTCTCAAGAGAATGATGCACTGAGGGCAAAATTAAAATAAGTAGGTAATACTCTTTACATATAGGATTGTATAAAATTAAACTATTTGAACCCTTTCTGTTTGTTAGTAAGGAATGGTGCTTTTTTTTTTTATTTCTACTGCTTAACCACTCCTACTTAATATATTTCCAGTTACACATGATGACTTTTCATGTAAGCAAAATCGTGGCCATGAACTAGTGTTCAGGGAATATTTAATACTATTAAAGTAATTTTTTTTGTCAAAAATGCTGATTTTAAATAATAGATCTAAAAATCTTCAAGCAATGTAAGTTGAATTTTTATTACTTAACAAAACCAATAAGCCTATTAATAAAATTGTACGTAGATTCAAACGACTTCTTAACAAAGGACTTTATTTAGAAATACCTGAGAATCTTGGTTTTTATTGTGCATTTGGGCTGCTTGTTTCCACTGATTTATGAGCTGCACTAACATTTTTACTGCATTGTCAAGAAGCGTTGGGTGGACGTCAGTCACTTCACGCACAATAAAATACACAAATCCTGAAAGAACATCTTCCCGCCAATCTGGAAAATCAAGCATTAATGCTTGGAGAGTATTGAAAGCCAAGGCACGAAGTTCTTCATCCATATGAATTGTCAGCCTGTTTAGAAAAAACACCAGTATCATCACCCTAGATTGGCATACCCTTAACCAGACTTCATATAATTAAAGTTTGGTGTTAACTCTTCCTTCTTTACTGTACAACGTAGAATACTTCCACACAGATAAAGCAGCTTTACCTTGGATATGAGAAAAAAAAAACCCCAAAACAAACAAAAAATCCCTTTGCATATATATTTTAAAATATGTCTCAGTTTGCTATGGTAGAAGAAACTTATCCAGTACTGTATTATTACTTAATACTTCATGTCTTTTATGTGATTTTTGACACTGAAGAAAAAATGTTAGAAAAATCTTATTCTTTCAAATTATTACTAATTTATTAATATATGTCACTCAACACATTATATGCAACCGAATTTATAATTTCAAAGCTAAAAGCTATCTTGTATTTCTGCACCAAGGTCATTCTTGCATTAAGAATAAAAAAATTAAAAAGAGGAAGGTCTGTCACTCTAGTAATATATAAAGACCGTCTGCACGTACCATACTACATATTCTCCCTGAATGCTCAGTTTACCCATCTGCAAACACGTGGCTGCCCAGTTGTCTCAACTGCTTATCAGTACTGATAAGGCACATTTAATTTAAATTGAGGTAAGAGATGGAAGAATATGGGTAGTGTTGGACCAAAAAAAAAATGGAATAAGGAAGAAGGGTTAGTAGAAAACAAGAAAAAAAGTTTCCCATAAGTGCTTGTCTCACATTTTGGTAATGTTAAACAAGAATGCCTTTATGATAATCTACAGTATTAGCAGGGGGGGGCGGAGTATGTCAGTAGTAACAAAAAGATAAGACAATTACAAAAAACAAGCAAAGCAACAGAAATAAATTCCTACTTTGCAAAAAAATCCTCTCTAAAAATAAGTGCAGATCTTTAGGATAAATTTATCTCCTGCTACCCTGGCCAGTAACATTTGGCCAACTGCAGAAGGTATGCAGGAATAGGAGGAATGGATTCTGTATGCAGTGGACTCACACTACATACTGCACTGACAAACTCCCATACACACAGGATTAAAAAAAACCCAAAACATCCACTCAAAGCAGAATTTATTTCCCTTACCTTGCAAGCAATTCAATGAGGTCAGTCCTACTCATGCCATCTGGAATCAGTCTTGGGATAGCAGCAATACAAGTTCTGAACAAATCTATCTTAGGTTTTCTCTCACCCCTACAAAAACAGTTTATAACCAACAAAACAAATCTACTTCAGTACACCACAAATACTTTCAATTTCATGTCAAAACTAAGGAGCTAATAAAAATTTTTATCATTAATTAATGAAATCAGCATTCATTTAATAGTCAAGTAAAAAGCCAACAATTGTAATGCATTAACGATGGCATCTGCAACATCACAGCATAAATATATGACATAACTGTGACAGTGAAAATATTTTAATCCAGTACATACGTAATCATGTCTTCAGGTTCTTTATTGGACATCTGCACACTAGTCATGCACATGGGCCTTCCCACTTCTTTGTCCAAATGCCTGAGAATGCTGTCTAGCGCTTTTCTGACTTGAGGGTAGTATATGGACATTCCTGAAAAGCCAAAGAGTTACGATCATCTCTTTCTTTTGTTCCCACTTAATTTTCACATTTATATGAAAATATCTGACACTTATTCAGCTTAGGACAAAATTCTTCTTGTAAAAAGATGACATGAAACACACTAAGTGTCAAAAGAAATGCATATCAAATAAGTAGCAGGAGGTATTATACGAAAGTAGAAGTTTCTTTCAGAAAGAATATAAACAAGGAAGCAACCATTAGTTACTTTTCTTTTTTCTCAGTTCTGAGCATTTTACTTCTAGTTTAAATTTTACAGGTTGAAACAGTCCTTGAGAGATGACCGCTTCATCCACAGAAGATCAATAGTGGACAGGGATCAAAATTGCCTTACTCCTCTTCAGCTGTGGGACATTTGGGACATTTTAGAATGACATCAAGAGAACAAAAACTGCCATGCTATTTACCACACTAACTGCACTCAGGTTTCTTTGTGCTAATTTGGCAGTCCAAAACACTTCTAAAAAAGCCATGGATTTGGTCTCGTACACCAGAAGGTCAATATTGTCTAGCAGCCCTCTCTAAAGAACCAACACAATTCTGTTAAAACAGGTTGTCATTAGATTCTTGCTGACAAAATAAATACAGAAATACAGTTACATAAAGGTGCTGCTTGAGAATAATTGAGAACATATGAGCACATATTGCAACGCCAACTTACAAAAGAATACAACATACCAATAACTTTTGCTTCCTCATCTGTCAGCGTTTTATTAAGAAAAATTTTCTTCACACGCAGAGTATTTCCTGAGGGAAGAACAACTCCTGTTGTTGGCATTGGTGGTTCACCATCTTTCTGCTGCAAGCTATCTGCTATGACAAGGAAGACTCTGAGGCCAATATTCATCCTCTTCAATAGCAAAAAAAGGAAGGGAAAGGAAAGGGAAAACAGAAGGAATTACAACATTAAAGTAACGCAGATGACGAACAACACGAATTGCATTTTTCCTCTCTTTTAAATGGACAGCAGTACAGTTCCAGTAGGACAGGTATTATTTGTTACACATTAGGCTAATGAAAGTAACAAGAATAAAGTTCAAGTCTTTAGTGCGTCCTGACAACTCTGATTCCAGCTAACTGACTTGGCACAGGCTAATGTATCAAATATTTCATAGTACAGAACATTAAAGGAGTTTATATGAATCTTGAGAATGGCATACTGAAGACAGACATTGCTTAGACTGGGTCTTCAACCATAAGCGCTAGGTACAGCTTCCCTGAAAAAATGCTTTACAGTTATACTGAAATTATTTTTGAAATTAGTCTGAACTGCAGTACTGCTGGTAGCTTACTCACCAGAAATGAAACAGCAGCTGTGTATGACTACAATTACTTTAGTTTTACCAGAAGACCCCTTCAGATATTCATCGATCTGTTTCCATTCAGGCTCAAAAACAGTTAGCCACTTTACCCCAAAAATTCCCCCAATGCCCTGTGCTTGCTGCATACAAGGAATGAGCTTTTTTTACCTCTGGATTAATAGTGAAGGTTTTAGGTGATTTTCCAACACTAAGAAGATCAAATATTATTTCTTTCATTGCAAAATCCAAACGTTCCTATAAAGGAAAATAGATTGATCATCTCTTTTCTGTTAATATGCATAGTTTAATTTCTTGGCTTTGCACAGGTGCTGGGTATCATGTCTTAAAAGTTAGGGAAAAAAAGTTTTTTTAATTCTTTTTTTTCCTATTTATTCTTAGGGTTTAATGTTCTTTTTTAAATATAGTACAACACAGCTCATCCCCCGATATGGCTGAACCATTTCCCCTGAAAAAATTCCCAGACAATTCTGCTCAGGTCAAACACATTTCTACAAATGAGCTGATAAAATTAGTGCTAAAAAGAGGAGCCCTAGGAAACAAATATATACTGTGAAGGGTTGAGTGTCCTGTCTCATCCCTGTATGACCAGATGCAAACAATCTTGGAAGCTGAAGCACAGACAAGCTATCTGTAAGACAGGAAAACATGTCTCTAATCTATAAGGTTACAGATGAATGAGAGTTTACTTGTTAGATCATACCATGCATTTGGATAGAAGGACAACAGAAGCACCTAAAATAATATAAATCATAATGCAACACTAATTGCACACTACGGTATGCATTCCATATTTTTTCTGTCTGCAGAGGCTATTCTCCAGGCTAAATGTAAGTAGATATTATGGCTCAAATGCTTTGTCCCTTATAAAAATATTATAATGGACACACTAATTACAACATGCAATACAAATGTAAATATTAATCATCATAATGTTCATACACAACAGTTGTTGACATTTAAGTAAAATAATTTTGCCACTAGTACAGAGTGAGTCTTTTAATTTGTTACACGTATTTGGGGAAATCCTAGTCAAGATATAAGACCACTAATTCAGTGCAAATATTTCAAACCTGAAACTTCAATTTACATTGCTTTAATTTACATTTACATTACAATTCTCATTTAATAGGATGAAATAATGTTCATCATATTCTTATAGCTCTACCTACACGTACACTTACCTGAGCAATGAACTGAATAATCTTCACAAATATATTCAGAGGTGTATCTCGTGGGACCACACTACGAGATCCTTTTGGAAAAAGTGCTGAAACAATGCTCATGAGACGGCTACAAGAATTTAGAAACAAAAAGAAATTTAAAAAAAAACTTCTAAAAATCACTTTTTATAATAGCACAGATCTTACCGTTCAGATCAAAAAAAAAGGGGTTGCTACTAAACAATACAGAAGCATATGACAGGCAGGAGCACCTACAGAAAGTACAGCTCTCTACTGTCACAGGCAACAGTATCACAGGTTCATTTATGAATCGACCAAGATTCTCCTTTAAATTACTAAGTAACAGTCAGGGAGTAGAAAAAGCTGAATGACTACTCCAAATTCTCATTATGCTAATTTATAAAGAGAACCTTTCAATTTCCCACTTATACTTAGTGACGGTCATTTCATACCCTATCTGTTCTGGTACCACTGATGCCTTTTTACTTTAATAAATCTTATCTCTGCACCCTCTTCTATCCTTGCAAAGACAATCATAAACTCTATTCTTTCTCCTCCTCAAAAGTTATCAAGTTCTTCTGGTTTTCTCTATTAAGATGAAGTCTTCCTCAACTAGATCATCCCTGAATGGGCTTCAAGATCTCTTAATACCACTGGCGGGAAAAAAAGCCCCACCAATCAATAGTTTAAAATCATTTGTATAATGAACTTACCTTTGTGTTACAGTGTTGCTTTCACATTTTATTCTAATAACATAGACCCACAACAACCTATACAAAGATTCCAGTGCAACTCGAGACATTTTGGGATCTTTATTCTGTAAAATAAATGAAAAATACAGTTACTGTTGCCAGTGAGACACTCAGAAAATTCTATTATTACTCTTGACTTTTGAGAATACTTTACATTTTTTAAACAATGAAAACTGATGTGTTTAATACTGACTACAAGTTTCAATGTATTTTCACAGAAACAACCCTGTATTGCATATTTCCAAAACTGCCTGAATATGTAACTAGTAATTTCAGATTATTTTACATCTGTCTCACTCTGAGAGCAGAGGAGTAACTAAAAAGCAGATATTCTTCTTGAGTTGAACACCCAAGTTGTATTGCTTCCAAGAACTTTTCTCAGAAAGCCATTGATAATGAATACCTACTTTATAGCAAACCAACTTACAGATTGTCTAAAGTACTGGGAGGGAATAGCTGCTTTGGATCATGTACAAAGTCTAAGTCCACCATTCAGTTTATGACAGCAGACAGGGTAAGTGCAGAAGAAGAGAGCGCAAAACAGGACAGGCACACAAGGATGCTTCTCTGCGTGGGCACTCCAGGCTTCACTCAACTTAGCCATTTCCTGCGGGCTGTATTAGTGTTTACTCACTTCCAACAGATTTTTATTGTAACAATTAAGCTAGCTTTTTCTTGAATTAATATAAAATTTTGTGGCATAATTCAGTTTAAAATGGAAAACAATTATTTTTTGCCTTAAAGCTGCTACTAGGAGTTTAGCTTTGCTCCTCTTAGCTCTTAGACTGTAAAACTAGCTAACATTCTTCATGCCAACTCCAGGAATCCCTCTTCCAACTAAGGATTCTTGGTGTATTTATAATCTTGAAGTGTCCAGTGAGATTCTTGGAATTGGTCATAACTATAAGAATAAACGATTCTCAGCTGTTATCTTTTTAGGTGTTCTCTCAGCTAAAACCAAAAAGCCAAATAAAAACAACAAAAAAACCCAACAAAAGAACCCCCAAAACACACCTTCCCCATCTCCAGTGAAGTCTCTCTATTTCAAGACATATCTATATGATGGCTTGAATCTAACTATTTTCACATTTTGTGGCCTCTACCACAAGTCAATGAGTCACAATAGCAGAGTACTTCGTCTTCCCAGGACGAGTGCAATTTCACAAAGGGTGTAAGTGGATCTAAGTCCATACTGTTTGAAAAGAGATGGTCTCATCCTTGGTTCCCTTCTCTGCAATCTCACTGCTCCTTTTGCACTGACTCTAGCAGTAAGAAAGTCCAACTCGCACCAGTAAGTTGATCTAAGCAACTTCATGGCCATGTCTGTGCAATAGACTATCCAAAGGAGAGTAATTTGGATGGCTTTAACACAGGTGGGTTGGGACTATTGGTTTTGGCAGCAGCCTACTTTAAGAATGGCTAAAAGCCTATCACAAAATCACAGAGGCAAAAGTGGTACTTCACAGCCAAATAACATACATGACTGCTTATCAGAATATTCCAGGGAATAGCTTAACCCAGTCTATGTCAGTGACAATGCTGTTCTACCTTCCCTTCACACTCATCAATGTGTTCCTGTCATCGTCTCTGAACTGGCACACCTGCAGCTAGGCAGTGGGTAAATTTAGGAAGGTGATTTGAACAAAATCCAACCAGTCAAAAGTTACATGTCCCTGGTTACTATTCCGACAGGCAACTGTCCCACTGTGCAGTTGATTTAGCAGCAGGGCTACTGTGAGGAAGAAGCATTATCAAAGTCTATCTGAAATGCAGTGTCTATAACTGAGTAATGCTTCAGTTTTCTTATTTCTAATATTCCAAAGGGGAGCTTAATTTACAGGTCCAGAAGAAAACTAAAAATTTACTAGTGGCTTTCAATCATCTTATTAAAAAAAAAAAAATTGTATAGGTAGCAGATAATTTACAATGTGTTAACAACATGCCATCTGTTAGGTTTATCATCCAATAGAGGTATTTCAGATTAGTTATGATAAAGTTTGCTTCTTTGTTTAAAAAAAAAAAGGTACGAAGAGGCATTAACCTTTTGAAAAGGGTTACAAAATAAATACAAAAGTACTTCTAATTTGTTAAGCATTAAAAATCTTAATTATCTCTTCCTATAACTAGGAACTAAACAAATATGCTAGAAGAAAATGGCTTTTGGGGTCTAATTTATGGCACACTTCTTGTATACTTGGTGTTAATACGTCAGTATTTCATTTTCTCCCCGAGTTTACTGCAATTATAATACAGGATATATACCTATGTAATTCACCAACCTGGCTGAATTTCAGTCATTTTAGCTGATGCCTGACACATTTTAAATACTCTCTGTTTTTTTCCAACATAGTTCTGTTTAAAATTCTAAAACCTTTCGCATAAATTACTTCAGCTGAGAATGGAATAAGCTGTCAAGAACTGTCTCTCTGTTACGAAACCAAAAACGTAACAGCAAATCTGCATTGGTCTTACACGACCCGTTAAGACAATTCAAGGAAACTCTCAATGAAAGCAAGAAACAAAATAGCATTTTTTCCATGTTAGTCAAATGTAGCCACTTACTCAAGAAAGTACTTTTTAATATTGATGTTAAACTTTTCTTTGTTCTGAACTAAAACAATTTCTGTACTTTAAAACCTGCAAAACCAACAGTGTAAGTAAAAGTCTTTCAAGTTAGTGCACCGCAAGTTTCTATAGTAAATCAGTTTCACATTTTTTATTGTGAAAATGTTTCCAAGTTTGCTCACATGCAAGACACTCTGAAATGAATTACGAGAAAAAAACCATACATCTGAATAGGCAGTTTACTTCTAGTGGAAACATGAGCTGCTGTTTAGGGAAACTACCTGTGATATTGATACTCAATCTCACAAAGCCACATTTTCACCCTCAAGGGAAAACTGGTATTAGATAATTTTCTGATCTTTCTCCTTTACTTCCTAGCAAGTAAAAAAGATCTTCGAAACATTAGCTACTCTTAGTCCTGTTGCTTCTTAACAGTACTAACGGCAATTTTCCAAAGAAAGGAAAGCACAAAATACAACAATTAACATAAAACAAAAAAAAGTATTTACATGAGACAAAGCAACGTTCACTGAGTTATAACAACATATTAACTCACCTGCAGTGTTTCTATTTGTTTTCTGATACTGTTGTTAGATGGCATCTAAATAAAGCAATGTGAGACAGCAAAACATAACAAACATGAGAATGGGAGGCACATGCATGTTAGATGAAAAAAAGCACAAAAACAACAGATAGCTGTCTAGTAAGGACTCTATTCAGTAGAAATACAGGTTTTGCTACAGTGGCAGAAAACGTTCCTCCAGCTTTGAAGGTTTTGTAGTAACAACACTAAGGTTAAACTGTGGAAAAAAAAATCTATTCTTTTCCAGCCAACAGTGGTGCAGAATGACAGATACTTTTCATTCCCATTTCAGCAGCCTCCTCAAATGTTCCTTCCTTTCCCTGGAAGAGGTGGTAAGGATACCACAACACAACTCAGCTTCATCCAAGAATCTACCAGCTTTCTGACAAACCTGCTAAAATTAGTCTCTCGGAACACTAGTCAAAAAAGTAAGCAAAATGTTTTACAATACTGACCCAGTGTTATTGTCTGCTGAACAAATTCAGAATTTTGCCTACACTACAGAGTGTAAAGAAATACCCTGCTGGGCTCAATGCTGAAACAGCATCCCAGCTGCTTTGTGGGACAAGGCCAGTTATACCTATGCCAAGAGACATCTTTTGGTACACTCCTGGTCTAAACTGACTCTTAGAACTCACTTATCTGCTATTTGCATTGGTCCAGACCTAGAGCTATGTAATCCTTCCTCATAGAAGTGACAGCAGGAAGAAGAAAGAAAAAAAATCCCCAAACCTAGGCTTCCTCTTCCAGAAAGGCTAGGATGTTTTCCCCATGCAATAAACTTGCTTTGAAGATAACTAAAGGTAGTGTGCACTGAAACTCAGTACAAAGAGTTTACAAGGGCAATAAATATTGCTAGTATTGGATCAGGATTCATAGCATTCTCAGGAGCATTACCAAGTTGAATGTAGCGCTGACATACTGTGGGGAATGGCAGGATATGCATGTACTACACATCAGGTACTATGGAGCAACTGAGAGGACGTGAGCTTTCACACCACAGCAAATGGGAAATTGCTTAGTTCTGCCACCAAAGCGTGACCACACGATGTGTATCACCAGGTTGGAGTTTGCACTGGGCAGTCACCAGGGAATAAACTGAGCACCATCAACCCCTGACCTATGTTACCTCTTGGCAACTTGCTAATGGGCCCGTAATCTTCGTAGAATATCCCTGTGACAGAGTCTAAGTGTTGTCATTATTTCAATTGTTAATTTTAAGTAATACGGTAGAAGTGTAAAGTATCTCCCAGTAACTCTCACAATTACTTGATTAAATAACAAAGATGCTAGAGACAGTGGATTTGGAATCCTTATTGCATTTTACATATTTAAGTAACTACAAATAAAATAACCTTAATCATTAGGAAATCAGGAAATAAAATTAGGAATGGGAAATCTAAAAGACTAAACTGCTGTGAAATTCAGATTTATAAATTAATGAGATTATTTATCACAGACTGCATGCACTTAATTAGCTTCAGAAACAAAGGAACACATTAATTCATAGGACACATGAGGACAGTGCTGGTGTATTTTTCGAAGTTAAACTCAACAAAGTTTCTGAACAAGCTAGGCACTCAAAAAACCAATAGTATTTGGTGGGCCAAGCTAAACTAAGCCATAAAATATCCTAAATAAGTCACTGATGGCACAGCATCATAACACTGCAAATTCTGAATTGCAGAAATTCATATGCAGAATTTCTGCTGAATAGAGCCTTACAGTACACGTGTTAAGCTGTTAGTGGTTAACAAAACTAGGTAAAATATAAAATGCATGCTCAGCAACTACCAGTTAAACTCATGGGCATTTATATTTTTAATACATCCATTATCAGTAATGGACATTATGCCAGAAAAATGCAACTCCTAGATTTTAAGAAATTTTTTAAAAGCTTTAAAAACAAAAGCAAAAGCAGCTTCCATCAGCAAAATAAACAACAAACCAAAAATCAGGGCAAATATTGCAAAAGAACTGCAAATGTTAGATGAAAAATATATAAAAACCCAACAAGCAACAGAAAAGTGTGAAAGATGTCATGAAAACAAAAATATCCTTAAAAAACAATCCAAGCAGCTAAACCTGTTTCCTCCTGACTTCGTGATGCTTTACGTATTTTACTAATAAGCTTCGGAACTGTCACTCATAGATCACCAGAATGAATATTGTGAAGGTGGATCAAAGAATTCATTAGAATTACCAAAATTAATACATTAGGCAAAATCATGAACTACTTTCATCAAAATTAAGGAAAGAACACGTACAACAATGAATGCTACAAGAAAGTCACTAAAACAAATCCCTAATTTCTAAGTATCTTGAGCTCTTTATCGATCAGCTGATGTTCACAATGCTATCAACTGAAGCCATGAGTTAAAGGGACACTGTAACTTTTATTTGGAAAATATATATCACAGGCTGTAGGTAAAATCTCTTTTCTGGACTCCAAATTAATTTTCTATTCCTTCAACAAGTGAACAAGAGAGAGAACTTTTGCACTTATTATACATTCTGCTTAGAAGAGAAGATAAACCATTTATTTTCTCATATATAATTTGCACATGAAGAATTACAGTTTGTACTTTCTCTGGCATAAATAGCATTTATTAGTAGATACTTCTGCAGATTTTACTCAATAAAACTGATGATCCTCAAGGGGGCCACATCTATTTCCTGCACTACATAGCATCACAAAAACTTACTACTAAGTTTAATAGTAATGAAGATATTTAATTAAAAAAAAAAAAATCACAGTGTCCTTTTAAACAGCCAAATATTGTTTATTTGACACAAGAATGCTGAGAACAAATCAGAGTAAGTGTTATTGATTTGTGACAGTTCCTGTATTGAAAAGTAGTCTTACCTTTAGATGTGACAAACAGTTCTGCAGGAAAACGTGCCAGTTATTTAAAAAAAACTGTTTCTGACTGACACACAACAGGCAGGTGATCAATGGATACAAAGCCTGTGAGTAGGGGGGAAAAAAGAGTTGATCAAACTGCTCTTTGCAAATCTTGTACACTGAAAATGAGACACACAGTCTCTCACTCTCACAGTTTTAGCACAGCAGCATTTCCCCTGCACTAGGACATGCACGCCAGGCACGGTGTCCTGGGTGTAAGTTATGTGCTGTAAGAGCTCATGGTGTAAGGGGCAGTGGGACCACGGTGAAGATCATTCCCTAGCAAGGCCTGATCTCAAACAAAGACTGCGAGCAGATCTTGCCCTTCGCACAACATTCGCTCCTTCCCTGCAACCAGGTGATTCAATTCATAGGGTCCTACATGCTGGGAGAGGGAACAGCCTCTAAGAAGAGTATTCAGTAAAAATACCATCAACTCAGTAAAAACCGAGGCAGACTTTAGGTTGTCAGAAATGTCACTTCTCCTCAAGGTCTACTCTTAGTAAGGAACGAAGCACCATTTAACAAAGTCTGTGATTGTGCAGACTAGCATGACTTTGCTTTGCTTTAGGAACATAAGATTTGTTTAAACACCACATACTTTACCAGAATACATAATGGTCATTAATAACAAATCTGACTGCAGATTATCTTGCTATGGAGCACAATTAAAGAATGAGGATGAATAGGTAAATTGTAAACTTGGTGTGACAATGTTCCTGATTTCACAAATAAAATGACATTGTGAATACAAACATCAATTATTTTATGTTACTCTTACATAAGGAGTTTGACAAGGACATAGGCTTTATACCAGAAAGTAAAGCTCATCCCTAACATGAAAGTGAGGATAAATAATTTTAAATTCACTTGCATTTACTGAATATGCCAATTGTAATGCAAAATTTAGCTCTGGCAAACTGAAGGGAATCAACTTGAAACACGGTTGACATGGTCATCAAGAATTACCAAATACTACATTAATAAGAGATTTAAATACTTGCTAAGATGCAGTCTTAGGGGAAAAGCTAAGATGCAGTCTTACCGGAAAAAAAAGCCATAGATATTTATATCCAAAAGATATAATAAAAAATATTGGAAAAAGAAAAACAAAGTGTATGAAGGAAAAAACAGGCAGAGCAGGGCTATTAACTGGCTGTTATTTTGCTGGAAAAGTCTTATCTGACACTTCCATCTTTTAATTAAACATAATTTAAATACACAGACTCCCTGAATGCAAGCTTTTTAGAGGAGACATTAGGTTAAGTACCTCTGTGCTAAAACCCACTAAAATAATCAAAACCAAGCATTGATTTCAATACAAACTCACAAGTGAGATAATAGTGCACGTATCTTGCACAAAGAAACAAAAAAAATTAGAGCAAATGTGCATACACAGAGTGAATTTAATTGTACTTGAAAGTTAAGATTTAAATTAATACAGCTGTTAGCTTTTCCTCATATAACGTATGAGCTTAAAAGTCTAAGAGGAGCAAAATGGAGAATCTGAAATATTTCTTTAAAGTACCAGTGAATGCTTCTTTCTTGAACTCAATTCAAAGGTAGTCTGATAAAGCATCTCCACAAAATTTTTCAAACATGGCACATTCACTTCATTTTTAACAGCCTATTAAAAAAAAAATAGACACATAAATGGGTTTAAAAGTTTATACAGAAGGCAATTTAAATATACATTAAGACATCCATGAATTCAAGAACATTCAGAAGTGTCACATTAGGTAAGTATTTAAGTGTATTTATTGAAATTATAAACAGAAGCATAAGAAATAATGTCATACAGTTAAAAACCAAAACAAAACAGAACAAACCCAAAACTCATTAAAAACCTCTCTGTTTTAAGAATGTAGCCTGTATTCCATACTTAAAGAAGAAGTATTTGCCACCAACTAACAAATAAAAACTAAACTGAAACTTTTAAAGTGTAATTTCATATATTTAAAAAAGTAATACCCACAACTTTGTCATTGTTCCTCTCCTCAATGCTCCCCTTTCCTTTTATGTCCTCCAGTTCTGAAAACTGAAAACTTAGGAAATTATACACAGAATTACCAGCCAACCAACCATTTAAGTGGTCTTTGTTCAGCTTTTAGAATTAATGAAACAGATACTTGGAGCCCTACACCTTTTTAACCCACTCTGTCCTTGCATACAGAATAGCCTTCTTTCCACAAACCAGGCAGCTACCTTCTTCATCAAAATCCCTGCAAGTCTCTAAGGCTGGATACCTGTGATGATTCATTTAAATACTTAAAAACTTTAAAAGGTTCTGAAAACCGACTGGAAACTATCTAATACACAAATCACACTGACACATTTCCCTTTGAAAGGTTACATAGGTGCTTGTAATTCACTTAATAGCCTTTTTTAATCTGTAAAAGTGTGATATAGTGAGGTCTAATGGAAACAATTTTAACAATGAGAGTCTAATTAAAAGTCAAGGAAATAGTAGGGGAAAAAAATGAAAATAAAAATACTTACAGCAGCCACAGGGATGAGAATTTCCACAAACAAACCAGCAAGTGCATGCTTTATATCTTTATCTTTTACTTCCAGGAAGTATTGAGCACACTCCTTAGTAAGGAAGCATTAGAAAAATATTTAGAAAAAAGATGACAGTAGTATCACATCAGATGCCAGTTTGAATGTAAAAAATGTAATGTGTTTCAATTAGTCTTATATTCCTCGACAATATCAACTTTACAAAACATTAGAAACTTTAAAACCTGTTTCTCCAGCAACTGAAACGAAATTGAAAGGAGAACATTTGTAATACCAGACAGCTATTTACTTCCTACTCAGAATATAAAAGAATGTAAAGATGCACATTCCTTCTCAGATTATTCTGAAGTTTCAAAAAATAAATGCTTAACTCTATTGAAATTATTAGAAAATCATATTTTAATTTTATATACTCATTTTCACTTTCAAGATGACTTTGATGCAAAGAAAATTTTACAGATAAATAAATAATCCATACACATGTATGCACACTCCACTACACCAAACTGACCACTCTGGACACAAAACACCTATGTGTATGTTAATTTCTTTCAGGATTGAGATCAATGTCAATGGCTGTTAAATAGTTCTTAACAAAATTTATGACCAAGTTGCAATAACTTCAGTTACTGTGGAATGAGCAAGTTATTCATTAAGACAAATTTTTAATCCACAATCAAATGAAGTAAATAAAGAGATTTTAAGTCTCTCTGAAAATTAACTGAAATGTTTTTTAGACAAAACTGTTTCTTGGCATCTCAGATGTTAAAAAAAGATTTATCAAGTAACTTCTTTTCTTTAATCCACTGCTTTCATAAAGAAAGAAAATTATTTGATTGCTACACATTTTCATTTAGCCTTGAATAAATTAATATATTACAGGTTTGCCACATTACTGAGACAATTGAGAATGAGTTGTCATTATGCTAGGTCCTCACGAACTGCAGAGAAACAAATGATTCATACCTCTGAGAGCTTATGAACTAAATGGAAAAGGCTGAAGAAGGACAACACAGAAGAAGAGTGAGTGACTGATCACAGCAAGCATCATTGTAGCTTCATGACTTAAACAACAAAATTATGCTCATTTCAGTTTTATTTTACCTGCATGAACTGAAATGATGCTTCAAAATCCTCCACAGGATACATCTTTACTCGAAAAAACTTCATTCCCATAATCAAACTGATGATACTTTGTACTACATGAGGGCTCTGTTCTTTTTGTCGCAGTTCCTTTAATTCAGTGACAAACTTCTTCCTAACAGCTTGAAACCTGAACAAGGGATATAGATGGCAATTACATGCATTCTCAGTTACTTTTTATACGATGTCTATAATTGGGAACCGATTTCTTTAGTCTGTTAATGCTAACAGCACCTACAGTAAAAGGAACACAAGCAAGATGTACCCTGATACTTAAAATATAGGCATTTAAGAGTGCCTATGACTATCAGCACTTTAGAATACACTTGTTGACTGAAAACCAACTACTGACTGATACCAGGCTTCCCTTCTTGCACCTACAAGTCCACAGTAAAGCAATTCAGTATTGTACTAAAGATTATTTCTTGATTTGTTCAAATTTATTGTGCTGGAACAGAAGACTGACATGCCAGACTACACCTGACTACACTTGACACTTAAGAGATTAGTTACTGGGGTCATAACTAAATGTTGCTATATTAAATAGCCTTTAATTCTAGAGTTATCTTTCTCCAAAGGCAGGAAGAGTCAGAGACTAAACTCACTTTGATTGAGCAAGAACTCCTGTCACTTCTGCATATAAGTCTGCAATAATATGCACATTCCCAGTGTTGGTTCCTGAATACCTAAAGAGGGGGGAAAAAAAAAAAAAAAGGGCAAAAAAAAGGTGTTAAATACAACTTTGTTCTTCTAAACCCCAAGCATGTTCTCAATTACAGACAAAAAGTCTGTTCCATAGCAAGGCAGATTATTAACATAAAAACAATGAAAGTGAAGCATAAAATGCATGGTGACATTTAAAGTGACGTAGTTTCACTGAGTGGACTTAAGAGACATATTCTGTATAGTTATCCAAACAGACTTTTCTTAATGTGGCTGGCTATGCAAATCATTCTGTAAATCCTAAGAAAAATAAACTCAGCATTATACTGAATACTTCTTTCAAGATATGTTTTCAGTTTAAAGATATCAATCAGTGTTCACTGATAGTGTTATCACCAGTATGTTACATGTGAGGCAAACAATCACAACAATCAAGCACACACTGGTAATACACACAAAAAAATCTGAAGTGAAACTTACCCTTCCTTATGTTTAAAGTGCTTAAAAGCCAAGTTTAGAACTTCATGTACTAAAGGATCTGGCACTGGATGAACAGGTATCTGAAATGCAATAGCATTCATATGTATGTAATTATGCATAGATATATATACACACATATATATGTATGTATGAAGTACATAAACACTATTATGAGATGCCCTGTAGAAATCTCTCCGACTGCTGTCAAAGGACAAATCCTTTGTTGGCATATGATATCAAATTAATTCTGCAATATCTGAGCATTTACACAACCTCTATTGACATTCTCTTAAATTATTTTGCATACTGGCTTTCAGGGATAAAATTCATAACAAAATAAACAACAGTAATGTAGACACTATGAATTTGTCATAAAAATTTATCAGACTAGCTTAACTATGCATCCTTCCACACCTTCTACCTTCTGTGGTGTTACTATTACAGATTTAACCACAAAATGTAATTCATCTCAATATAAAGGAAGACAAAACCAAAAAATAAGAATGTAGAAGAGACGATCATCTCCATTTTAGACTTTCTCTAGATGAAAGCAGTCAAAACATAAGAATCTTCCTAGCAATAAGCAACAATTTGGTTAGAAACCAAAATCAAGCATTGTTTATAAGGCCCTTTTTTACTGAGGTCCTCTTTGACATCACCACTTTCTCAGGTTTAAAAGAAAACATTTGCTTAAAAATCAAAAGTATTCTTTACAAAAAGTACTATCTATAATTATGAAATCATATCATCTTGAAAATTCAAAGCCATTTAGGTAGGGACTAGGATAACGCTACTAAACATTACTGTTCAAGGGTGATTAAGATTTTCACTAAAATATATTTGAAGAAATGATTACTGCATGTCTACAGAAAATCATGCACTTCTTGCTTGAGAATTACATACTCTTCTGCATCAAGAAAACTATTTGTCCAAGAACTTCCAGGTACTGGAACTGGTTATTTACATGCATATTCGTACAATGAGTAATATGTAGTCATTTAAGCAAGATATTTTTGTTCCTACATAGGTCATGTCTGTCACTCACTCTCTGGTTGCTCTGCGCATATTACAGAAAGGGCTGGATCATATTCTTTGGACCCTCTAAAACAAGTTTCTAAGAATTAAACATGATAGGGCTCCCAGGAAGTCAGGAGAATGGATGTAATGTGAATGTAAATATGTGTACTGATAAAGAGCCATCCTTTCTGCCCTTTGTTTGACTGCCTAATTGTAGATTTACATTACAGGCAGAACATACAAACCATCCTTTAGATAATTTTAATACGAAATTGACCAAAGGATTTTCTTAAGTGGTGTATCTTTGTTTAGCAGCTCATTGCAGGTCTTTAGCAGAGGAAAACATCCTTATCAGAAAAATACCTGTTTTGCCTGGAGTACAAGCCTAAGAGGCTCACCAAGAATTACAGGAGTCACCACAGACTCTTTTCAAGACCAGAACTTTGGCACCTCTCCTGATATCTGAATCACTGGCAACATTTACTCTTCTCAACAGAAAAACTAGTACCAGTTCAAAACACAGAAGCTACCCATACAACCCTGCAATCCTGAACCACGTATGCCATTTTCCTTTTCTTTCACACTGACAGAAAAATTAGGCAGGGAGAGAGCATGAACTAAAGATTTTCCGTAAAACACTGATGGTTTTAATGCTGTTCTCTGCATCTCTGTGCACGCAGTACAGGAATACCACTTCGGATGACTGGTTGGTGTCTCAGAGAAGGATGGGCAGCTCTTTTGTTTTACTGTTTTCATTTTTCCCTATATCACAAACATGCCATACACAACCACATAAACACAGATCTCCTACAAATTATTTGCAAACTGAACATTGGTGCTTACTTTACTTAGTACAGAAAGCCACTTAGTTTAACGTACCTATACATAAAAGACATAAACTACTTAAGTATTTGAAATGTGAAATTTGCTCATCTGCTTCATGTTTCAAATCTTTTCTTACAGTAATCTTTTTCTCTCAAAGACTGTGAGAAAAAATTTTGCTACTTGAAGCCAAACTCTATCCTCTTGTCCAGACACCAATGCAAATTTTATATTAACAGAAATTGTGTGTGACATCATCTAGCACTATACTATAAGTAAAATTACATTAAAAGTAAAATATTAAAAGAAGTCTGCCAAAGCAGAAGAGCTTACCTGTTTTAGAACCTCTATTAAAACTAAACAAAAAATGAAATCTACAGCTAAGTCCCTCCTTTCAAGTAGATAATCTCTTTCACGTTGTTGGTCATCCCTAGAATAAGAAATCAAGAACACATGTATCATATACAAGACAGAACACAGTTATTGCAGAGAAGGGGTATGCATGCCTTTCATGCAATCTTTGTTGCACACATATATAAAATAGATGGTTAGAAAGACTCTGGGGTTTGGTGCAGCACTGACATCTTGCCCTCTCCTGAAAGGAACTGCCAACAATCAAAACAATTAAAAAAGGGACAAATAAGCCTGGAATTATCAGCATCCAACTTCCTTCTGTATATGAAACCCAAAATCCCTAACTCACTTCATGCATATAATCTATGCAAGTTAAATACACTACCTGAAAGAAGCCCACGCTCTTTCTACACAGATTAAGGTAATGACAGATCCAAATACAAAATACTCATCAAAAAAGTACAGAGCACACATTTTCTTCCAAGAAAGCACAAAAAAAAAAAATCAAACAGACTTTTGCAAGGAAAATCCTTACCCCTTTGATTTTGTGCTAGAACGAGGTCTGTATTCATAAGACTCATCTTCTGTTCCATTTTGACGCCTGTACCAGTCAAACAAGGTGCGTAATAAGGAGGGGAGACAGTGCTCTGCTACTGAGCTCATAGAGCTTATCAACTGAAGGAAAGTAAGAAAAATAGTTTAGCATGATAAAGCAATCTAAAAATCCTAGAATTATAATCATTCTTTCAAATTGTTTTTTAACGTTAAAAACCATATAATTTTTTAAGATTGTAACTTTATGTATCATTTTCACCTAGGACAATTACTGTAAATATGACACACTAAGTCAACTGTTATGATAAATTTAAGCAAAGTGTTCTGAAGCTCATGGGGATCACAGAGCCCTAAATTTATAGAGACAACCCATATAAAACCATTGAGAAAACAGCAGAGATTTTAGGATGTCTCTGAATGTTGCCATATGTACCTCTGAAGCATACACAAATTTACACCACAAATGACAGATAAGAGGTAACACTCCTAAACTGAGCAAGTAGGTAACCTTCCAAAACAGGCTTCTTTGGTTATTTTACAAACAAAAAAAAAAGAGCCTTTTAGATATTCTACTCTACTTTTAATACAATTGACTAGTCTAGATCTCAAGCTATACTTACTTTCAGCGTAACTCCCATATCTACTGTTTTCTTTCAGAAAACCCATATGAGTTGTAAACTTATCTGTGAAACACTGGCAATACCATTACAGAAGGAAGACTTTAACACAGTATGAAACTTAAATTCACAAGGCTTTCTTTAACTTAAACTTCAACAGAACTCATCAGTACCCACGCCTGGAGAGGAGAAGAATGACTGGAGAAAGACAGCATAAAGCCCCTATAAACTCCGTGCCAGGAGGCAGCAGGGAGCAAGCCTATCCCCAAAACACTGGCTGGAAAAGCAGAGTTCCCACATTGCTCACTGATGCCATGTTTTAATTACCTCTTGCATCTTTAAAATAAGAGGTTTCAACATAATCCATCCTTGTGCTCCAACTTATCTGTTATTCACTATTCTGGAAAACCAAGATAACATCAATGCCATTATTTCTTTGTCCTCATTTGAAGTATCTTGTTTTTTTCAGGTTTTGGGAAGGGATGGGGGCAGATTAACCATATGGAAACCTCAGGAAGATCTCTTTCAACCACCTGAATACCTTATTCAACTTGTTAACCAGTCAGCTATTCAAGTCACAAGAATTAAGTAGTATTTTTGACTCTCTGAAAAATCCCTTAATTTTATAAACAAATGGAGAAACTTCATTAAAATAAGTAAAATCATATTCTTATTCTGTAAATTCATAAAACTTTAAATCCCAGTATACAATGCAAACTACACATATTCTAAATCTGAACAGGAACTAGGTTTCATCAAGAAATTTTTACTAGAACAATGAGATTACTTTATTTCTTATTATTATTGTCTGTCAATAGGACACTCTCTAAAAGGAGATTCAATGGAAAAACCAGGCATGCCCACTGCAGGAGGGGGACTCGCGTTGAGCTAACTGCACCAAAAGATGCGAGCAGTTATTACAGGCAACACAAAACCATGCAAAGCCTTTTTAACACAGAAAAGAAACAGAAGCTATAAAAGCTCTGTAGGCTTCCTATAATGGCTTGAATCTCAGAACAAAGGCTATATTTTGAGAATACCTTCGTTCTTCTATTAATGTAAGTTGAAATCTTTGTGACTTGCTTTGGAAGTCAAGCATGCTGTAAGCCTGTTCCTTGTGCACCAGTATCCATACAAAATAAATACCCAGTCAATCAACCAACATACATCAGACTTATAGAAGTGGAGAGTAAAAACCAGCTCAATTTTACCACTGTGAAGTTATGTTGTAATCTGAAATGAAGCAGTGCATGATGAAAAGGAACATGTAAAAATTAAGATGTTGTACAAGAGAATTTTCTGATGCAGCAGAGGGTTGACAAACCTCCTTGGAAAAAAACCAACCAACCAACCAACCAAACCAAAACAGCAAAAACTTGTGAAGAAGAGTAGAATAGTAAAGAAAAACTATGAGGACATTTGAGACACTTGTGGGGTACTATTAAATCTATTATCCTCCAGCAAGAGGAAACATCAGAAAAAAAGAACTCAAAAGACTCATTTTTATTGATAAAGCTTCAAAAAATCTTCACCAATATTTCACATGCAAGAAACGCCTCTTGCTTGCATCAGCTTAAGGTACGCAAACATCTGTTGAACTCACTCCAGCCATGAGCAGAAATCGCAAGTTATAAGCATTAATGTATTTGGGGGAAGATTCAGAAAGCAGAAAGAATCAACCCTCCCTCATGAGTTACTAAACTGAAGGTATTACACTCATAAAATCATCAGTGGAACTGGTAATCCTTAGAATGAAATCTAAAGCTAAACTTGATGAAGAAGGCGTCTATCACCAACCACAGCAATCCAAAATGTGTTATGCCTTCAGAATTTCTGTCATTTCCCACTCCCCAAATAACCTGGGGAAATACACTAATTTGTCTTTCTCTAAAAATAATGATATATCCAATATGTATCCAGGCAACAGGACAGGAATAGGTTAAGCGAACACTTAAGTTACCCGGTGCTGTCAATACAAAATGACCCTACAAAGCTTTTCTACTCCTCTGCCCTCCTTCTGAACTGGTGGATTTATTAGTAGAAGAAAAAGAAGAACGCTATATTTTAAGCTTTACTAAACCTTTTCCTTAGGTTTTCCTGCAATTTTACATAGTGTATTAATACTACTACCGTCCATAAATGTTCCAGCAGTTAGGCAGAAATGAGCTGATCACATGCATTAAAAAATTTGTCATCAGTAAAATGCTAAACCCAGGAACTACTGGCATTATAAAGCATTTTCCTCTTGAAATGAAAAATCAGTTTTATATTATAATTATTTATTTCCTGACAAGTTTTGCACGCTTAACATTTTAATGAAAAGGCATTGGAATTATCGGAAAGAGGAAATCTTTACTCTTATTACATAGCTAAGCAGAACGTGAGCTATATGCTTACTCTTTTTATTTAAAATAATTACCATACTGCTTGGATACTAAATTCAGTATCACATGATATAAAAAGTAGAAGAAAACCCTTTTATTTTAGCATTAAATTATGCCTAGGTTGAAAGCAGCAATCGAGACAAAGAGAGATGCTGTAATGCCCAAGAGGACGGGGCTAGACTAGTCATCATGACATATACTTATATTCCTCGGAATGAAACAGCAAAGCGTGCTCCAGTCTTAAAGGCTGTAACACATTGTTAATGCTGCACTTAACACACCCAACAACACACTGAGAGGTAAGGAGAGAGAGATGCAAAATTACAATAAGATGCCAGAGCCCAAATTCCAGTTATTGTCAAAATCCTCATCCTGAAAATATTACTCAAGTTGTGTCTAATCACAAAGAAGCTTGAACCCCAGCAACACATCTGCTTTCAGCAAAGTCACTGAGATGGCCAAGATATGCTTCTGAGTAATCAGGAAGTTTTGGTGTCTTAGGACAAGAGTAGGAAATTGCCAAGTATGATTCCTACAACAAACAAAAGAATAAAAATACAAGCTATTTCAGTTTCAAGCTGTACAAGCAAAAAATATTTTAAGAAATGCAATATATGCTCTATAAAAAAAATCCTCTCTGGTAGCTTCTGGATGCGCTGGGAATGATAAAGGGAAAGCACTAGAACTAAAATGCTAACATTTTTAACAGTCTAGAAGTGTATCAACAGAAAAAGTTTCTTCTCATTTCCCCAAGTTGCATCTCTTTTAGCTAAATTTACATTTTGTTCCAATTAAAAACTCAATGACAAGTAAAAGAATTGTACTATTTGAAAATTAAAAACTATTGATTTTGCACACTTGGATCTAATAGCAGCCCTTTTGGTCTGGTTATGCTTCCAACAGAAACAACTTACAATCCCATTAAACAGCTATCTTACTTTTTCATGATAGGGACAGGCAACACTACATGCCTTCCTCCCCCACCCTTCTTCTCATCACTTACTGAGCTGAGAGAATGAGTGTTAACTAGATACCTTCTTAATCCCAGAGTCTCTCTTCCGTTTCAGTCATGCTCCTTTTATTCACAAAGCACACCACTTACTAGCTCAGACACCATACCAGTACAGCTAAAGCCACTTCTTAGACATGAACTCTCAACTCCGTAAAGATCTCCGTAAAGGGTGAACAACGTTGGCCCAGCAACAGCTCTAGCTTCTCTGCTGGATGCTGTGGCTTTCACTCTGCATCCTCCTCTCTCCAATACTTTGCCAATCTCTTTACTCTGCAGTCTTCTGCACTGCTGGGTAATTGATCTTAATATGGGTTTCCTACACCCAGCTATGAACAGAGAGAAGCAATCTTAATTCCTTTTGCAAAACATTGCCTATCAAAATTCACAATTCATGTCACCACAAGGGAGCCATTCTGCTCTGACTCTCTGAAGTAGTTTTTCAGTACCTTTAAAACTCAGATCTTGATGAACTCAAAACAGACTACAAATAACAGAAGAACAAAATAGGAACTCGCACACACATACACACACACACACACACACTCAAAACTAATTATTTTTAAATAACTACTTTTTCAGGAAAACTAGTTTATTTCTATATTACAAGATTTCAGAAGTTACCTGTTTTATTTTTTACTTTTCTTCACACAGCATATTTTTAGAACCTATATATAGTTTAATACATGACTACTAGTAATTTATAAAAAACTTCCTTAACTAAGGAAAAGAGTAGGAGTAGGAGGGGAGGGCAGAGCTAGTAGAAAAACTAGCAATATTCCTGATTTACAGATTTCCTTAGATCAACCCTATCATGTATATGATTTAGCTTTTGGTCAGCTTTAAAACAAAAATACTGTACTACCAAAGAATTTATGTCCTATTGTCCCTCACTCATTTTCCTTGCTTATAAGTAAAATTTCCTCTAGGAGATAATGGCCTTGCAGCAGGTTAGATTAGAAAACATTAAAAGGCTATGTGAGGATTTTGGTGCTAGTTTAGTTTTTGTTTTTCTTTGAAAATAAAATTATACATCAGCTACTACATGCTATTATTTGTTTCTCTTTTGGGAGGAGGGAGAAGAGTACACATATAGCTATTAATTGAAAAGTAGAGACAGGTCCACAGATTTCACTGCAATGTCTAATACCTGTATCTGAGGAGTAATGGAAAGCATGAAACAAAAATCCAGTTTCAGAAGACACAGACAGAACACTAAACTTCATTCAGTAAGATGCTATTCAGTAGCAGTTAAGACAAGGATCAGGAACTTAATGGGGCTTCATTTGAATGCTGCATCTCCATTGCAAGGAAGCAGTTACAGGACAAAAACATGCCTATACTATAAAAGAATTAGAAATGCAGACAATAAATATGAATAAATTAAGCAGAGAGTTATTCCAGGTACAGTTGACTTACAGTAAGTGAAACAGAATAGCCTCACAGTGCGACTATATACTCAGCAAAGGACAAAGTAAAATTTTGAATCTACTTTATGCCTTCTGCCATAGAATCAAAAAGCCCTCGGTGAAAGCCATGACACTGAAATTAACACTATTTGCTTATAAAAGCAGAACCCCAAACACTGAAACAGTAAGTGCTATAGGCTGAGGTTACCCAACGCCTGTAACAGGAACAAACCAGGTCTTTTTGTCCCTTACCATATTTCAGCATCTTTCCTCCAGCAGCTTTCACTGCCACCTTCAAATAATTAATCTATTCTAGTAGCTTCTTACTATCATAATGTACAATGGAAAATAAAGTCTAACTAACATTCAAAGTCTAAATTTTCTGATGCTGCTTCAGATGTGGATGTTCCAAGTCACTACAGCAGTGGAAGCACTATTCTGCAAAAAACAGAGGCCACCTTAACCTAATAAAAACTGCCTTCAATTACTTGTCTCCTACCTGATCAAACTGAAGATCTTCACCTCTTTGAAGAGATCTGGACAAGAGCTTTTCCTGTAAAACAAAAACAAAAAAAGAAATATTAATTTCACAATACAATTGATGGTTATCAAAGACAGATTCCTTCTTTCTCAGTTATGTTACAGAACAAAGAAAGAACTTTTAATGTCAGTGTTTGCATTATTTTTCAGCTAGAACCATTTCTGAAGATGTGAAGTTTACTCAAAAAACAGAAGAGTACAGATCCAAAATTAATTTGGTAGCTTCATAGTAATAACCTTAAAGACTGACAAACAGAAAATGTCAAACACCTCTCCCAAACAGCAGGGCCTACAGCAGTGTGCTCAACAGAGATAGCAGGCGGTGGGTGCCAAGAGTAACTTAGAAGGAAAGCCATTCCCATCTGAATTAACAAGCATATTCATGTTCACATAAGGCAGTTATTGTCAGCTACAAGAATGAATTTTAAAATGCCTCACAAAAAGTAGAGACAATTGTTCAATGCATTTCCAATCTGTGCTTTCCCTGAACTGCAGTGAAAAACAGCTAGAAGATCTAGTCCAGGAAAAGGAGAATGTCAATAATAACTTGCTGTACATTTGAAATAACTTTGTAAGGTACAAATCAGCAATATTACTAGAATTTAATTATTACAATATTTCATACTACCAATACCATAAGACACACTGCTCTGTTAAAAGAAAAATTAAATTACAGTCCTGATAAAATAAGTTAGTGAGAATTAAAGCATTAAGAAAACAAAACATTCATGGCACTTGGACATAGCTTCGTGGTGGCCTTGGCAGTGTTCGAATTTATGGTTGAACGTGATGATCTCGAAGATCTTTTCCAACCTAAATGTTTCTATGATTCTATTAATTATAGCAGTAATGTAACAGTAATTCTTAGTAGTCACTGTTGAGTGTACCAAATTATACAGGTACAAGAAATACAACTTTTACAGTCTCTCGCTCGGGTATCCTGTTAGGTAAAAAAAAGAGAAGGGGAAATAAAAAACCCACCAAAAAACCCCCTAAGTACCATGTACTGGCTCTGAGGGTCAATGATTTAAAGTGAGTCAAGTGCAACAGTAACAGCTTTAAGGGCATACTAAAAAGCAGTAAGATATACAAAGATGCGATGAATTTCACTCCATTTTGACAAGGCAAGTAGAAAAAGTACTCCAATTAAGAAGTTAGCAACTCACTTTAGATTTCATTAAGCAAACAAAAGAGCTTTTATGGAGCAAAATAAGTCAAGCAGTAAACGAGAAGAGCTGTTAATCTGCTTGGTGTGGGGTGCAAAAGGAGGTGTCAGTACCGACAGTCAGTACTGCTCTCAACAGGTTGTGCCTCAGTTAACACAAAATAACTGCTCAGTAGTTTAGTAAGAGACAACACTGTCAGGCTCACAGCTGTCCAGCTGTTGACCAAAATTTTAAAAGTCGATATTGTTTGGCATTTAACACTTGCACAGCTGCAACAGACAGGCTATATGTTAAACTGGGATTGCACGAACCAAGTCCAAGATTCAAACCGGCAATTTTCACCTGTCCTAATCGTAATCTTGAAAACACGAGACAATTTCTGGCATTTTCTGCTATGAGTGCCACTGTATTTAGCGTTCAAAAGAACATAATCTCTGGCAACTATTACAGCCTCTGAAAACTTGAACTCAGCATTGCCCAGGCAAAAAGCATTTGCCTACTCTGAAAGTATAACTTGAAACAATACACGTACCAATTCACAAGTCGGACCATTTTCACTTTCTATAATACAAAGAAACCCACTTAATTGTCTGAGAAAACACTGTTTTTTTGTGTACATTTCCAGTATACCTAAATAAAAAAATATTTTTAAAAGGAGGTAGTTTAAGGAAAATGCATTTAATATTCTGAAATGGTTCTATTTGTTCATCAACTGATGTTATTACCCAATGTTCTTTCACTGTGTATTCAAAAGCAAGGGGAAAGAGGTTTCAGATACTGACAAATAAACACTTTTTTGAATCTTACAAATGCATATAATTTTACATGTTAAATATGTTCAAAATACTGTTATGAGAACTGACATATTGCAGTATACACTAAAAGCTCCAGAGAGCACTTGCAAATCAGAATTCCCTTTTAACTAGAACTCCTCCCTCCCCTTTTTTTAAAAGGAAACATTTAGTGTAGGTGAATTCATGTTATCTGTACTATGCTTTTAAATAAACTGCACAAATAATTGTAATCTTATCTATAAAGCAGAAACACGAGAAACGTTCCACCCTATATAAACATCGTATATTGCTGAATGAGCTGAAGGAAAATAACTAGAAAAATATTTCTTGAGAATATGGAGAAGTGACTTTCCTGTAAGATGATGGTAGAAAGTCAGGTTCCTTAAGTCTCTTTATGATACAATGCCCCGATGTGCCACATTTCTACCACGGTACTACAAAACCATTATACAGGTGAACAAACAGTGGGTTTATTATATCCATTGAATGTGTCTAAAACCAGAAACAGCTAAAGAAAAGAATGATAACAAATCAAAGAGAACTGAACTTTAAGTCTTTAGACTAAGTTTGAATCCATGACAACAGAGAGCAAGATATTTTTAAGATAGTTCTGAAACTTTAGCTTTCCCCCCATTCTATACTAATTGAGACACTTCCATACATCAAAATGTTGATATGACTTTTAGGATTTTTAGTATCAGAAAAAATGAAGACCTTACAAATTCATAATCTCATAATTTTTCCTCAGCATTAAAAATCTTAACTGCTAAAAGGTAAATATCACCATAGTTAACATAACATTGACCAAACAAATGTGACATGACCAAATAACACTCTTTAACCTAGTCACAGGTTTATCAAGGTCTTTGAATTACGTGTATGGCTTTAAAATTTATTTCCTTTCAATGTCTTTTTCTAGCTCTGCTTTGTCATGGCCCCAATCATCTCACATGACTTACAAAAATCTATCCAAGAGCATAAAGTAAAGGTCTGGAAACTTTCACTGAATTAATAATTTAAGATTTATTTTCCTGGCTTCCTGAAGTTCAGAGAGAGATCGAAATAACAGGTCTACATTTATCTTCTACAAGTGAAATGAAAAAAAAAACCCCACTGTTGAATTAACTAAAGAGCCGTTTGCATCCATTGTGTAAAGCAGAAATGTCAACATATGGCAGGCAGCAGAGATCAGGATGTAGACAGACGTGTGTGTGCTGTGCAAACAACTGCACCCTTGGAAAAAGGTACCACCCGTTGGCCCCTCTCCAGTCTTCACCGGCAGCGTCCTCGGGTGGCTAGCACACCTCAGCAGGGCAGCTCAGGTGAACACAGCAAAACTAGTGTACTTGTTTCTGTCCTCCCAGCTGCAAGTAAGGAACCAGAGAAGGGATGCTGCTGCCTTGCCTGCCCTAGCCGGAGTGCTGGGCAGCACCTGTGTCCTTGCCCCAGCGCGGGAGGAACGCTGTGCTGGAGGAATGCGGCGTGCTAAACCTTACAGATTTCAGACCAGCTTTTGAAAGCACCTAGGGAAGCCTTGAAAAAGTGTACAGTGCTAGTCTGAGCAATATTTAGTATCTCCACGATGAAGTAAAATTGCTGGCATTGGCAACGGGCTTGAATACTCTTGCTGGTGTTGACTAAACTGAACTACAATTTAGTAAGTTAGCAGCTTGCTTGGCTAACAGCTTGGTAACTTGGTAGTACCATGTTCAACTCTCTCTGCTTAAATTCTAACCATCTATATTTACATTCAGCCTGACAAAATACAAGGTAACTGAATTCATCACTAATATTTCTAGCTGGTATACTTTGACATTTGGTATCATGTCTAATGGTTATCCTTGCTCAGCTGAGGAAGAGTATTTTAAACTGCAATAAACTGTGTCTGAGCCCTTTTCCTTTAAAACTATATAATACTACAAAAGACTTAGAATAACTGATTTTTTTACATATAAAAATATTATTTAATCTAATTTACTCACTCAAAGGATTATCTTCCTTCCCATAGTTACACTTGTTACTTGAAACATTTATTTTTAGCATTGCTGATAAGCTCTTTCCGTAACTCTGTAAACTCTGCAGTATTAAAATTTTGCAAGCAGAGAACTCTTAATTAAATCAGTGAAGTGAAACTACTTTGTTACTCACTGAGTATCCTACGTAAACTCACACACAGAGAAACCATTTAGTTACTTTTTAAAATCACAAAATTGCTCTTAGATGAAACTCATACCTCTGGCCAAAAGGGTACCAACCCCTCATCCCCAGGTGCTGTCTTGATCTGAGGTTACTCTATTTTATTTATTTCATTTTTTAAGATTAATTTTTACTCCCCTGCAGACATGTTCTTTTTCCCATTTTAAAAAGTGTCTAGCTCCTAACTTCAACTGGTCTGGTTCCAAATTCTCTCCAACAGCTTCATCCAACAGCCTAGTTTCATCGAATACATTAAAGATTTATGTAACACTATATATATTCTCCACATAAACTTTGTTATTTGTAGCAGAGTCATCTCACAAATAACACCAAAATGATAAAGGGCTTTCCTCTCTTCCTGTAAAGCCTTTTCTCCAATCTCAGTACCATTCCTGTGCCCTTTTAGCCTTTTAACTTCCTTTTTAAATGTCATACACTAGAACTGAATATTCAGTATTTATATAAAATACTACATAAAAAGATAAAACCACTTTAGTACCTTAGTACTTCCTTTCATTCAGACACCTAAGGACTCCCCTCCACCTCTTTGTATTACACAGGCTCAGGTTGTTTCACTTTTTCACAGCTTCTAGCACCTCTTTTAAATTGATGGTTTTCTATAGAGTCTTTCCTTCCAATGAGTATAAAATAAGGAATATTGGCTGTATGTGCAAATTTACATCTGACTGTGCTAAAATATTTTGTTTAAAAGAATTAAACTTATCAAATTAACCCAGACAGAACTGCTAAAATAACTCTCACAAATGACTACTCTACTAATATTTATGACTTCATATTTTTTATTTTTCTCAAAGCATACTGTATACACACAAAATAACAATTTCAGTATCTTATTAGTAAAAGATCCTGACTAAGGTAGACTTGATGCAATCACCACAGAACATTACCAGACAAAAGAGCTGGGAATCACTCTTCTTTGAAAAATGCATCATTTCATTCGTTTCATGGGGTTTTTTTAATTTTTAACCTGGTAAGACGTTTTGATTTTGTTTGATTAAGAGATTTTAAAACACTTGTTTAACAGCTAACAGCATGGCACGTAGACACAGCCTGGGGCTGTTGTATTTATTTGATTTGGTCTAGGGACAAGTTTTGCAGCACAAGTGAACTTCAGGCTATTATATTTACCTTGCTACCAGTATTCCGGTTAGGAGATCTGACTCTGAACTATCTCTGTCTGCAGGAAAAGCTCTCTTCAGCTCATCTAAATAAAAGGCAGTGTATGTCATTCTGGCCAAGCTCTGTACATTTAGCAGACGAATGGAAAAGGAGCATGCAGACCACTGTGAGTGGAGCTACCTGCTTTTCCACCCCCAGCATCACCACCCCCACAGCTCTCCTCTCACTTAACCACATACCCTTCACCATTTGTGTGCCTATATGTTCCTACAATCGTTTCTGTGCTTTCTTATCAGACTCTCCTGAACACCCAACACTTTTGGATGTCTATAAGGAAACAGACAAGTTATGTTTAAGTTGTAGGCTTGCCTGGTACACAAACACATACACGCGTATATACATACACACAATGTATACCTAAGTAGGTGTGGATAAAGAAATGTTTCCTGCTCCTCAGTCTTTGATCTACTAATGGTTTTAGTTGAAGATGATCCAATCAGTGACACCACAGAACGTGTTTAGCTCCCTTTTCGTGTTCCTTTGGATTGCAGCTTATAACATTTTTGTAAAGTTTCAAAACTGGGATCCAAGTGCTCACATGTGCCTTTTTCTCTCATAGGGTCATTCTCAGCAATAAAGAACACTTCTGCAAGCAGCAGCTGCAAACAGAGGCCTTTCAATCTCGCTCACTTTCTAGGTATTTCAAATTATTTTATCTTTTGCCTGTAACTAAAAGAATTTAAGACTTCAAGGCTCAAATTCACTGCATGCAAAATCTATTTTATGTCCTTGACCTATTTTGTCCAAGAGATGGTAATGAAGAGGTTACAGCCCCCTGCATATATGTAAGGAACTAATAAAACTTTAAATTGCATTCAAACCAAATAATTGCTTATATATAGAAATAAAAATTAAATGTACGTTGCAGGAAGTATTCCTGGCTGAACAACACAGAAAATATCCTATAGTGCTGTAGCTACAATGTAAGGATTTCTGTCAATTCTGAAATCAGTAAGCTTGTCCTGTACGTTATACCCCACCTTCAGATTATTAGAAGAAATTAGCAGAAAGAAGCACCTCTATGTAAAAGCAAATAAGTAAAAATTAGGGAGAGAACAGCAGTAAGGAGACAGTGAGAGTGAGAGGACCTGGCATGTGGTGGGTAGCAGCAGGTGTTGACACAAGGAAGGAGAAATGGAGACACGAGCATTCGAGCGTGTGCCCTTCCAACCCCAAGATCAGGCATACTTCCTCAGAGGAGTGACCAACGAACAAATTCTTTAGGAACTGCTAAAGTATGATGATTTAAGGAAGAGAAACACCTGATTAAGGTGCTCAGTTCAGCATGTCAAACGGTTTTCCGTAAAGTTCATTCTACATAGTCATAAATCGCTCTTAAGCATCTGTGTCGCATCTTGTGTGCACAGGATGACTATGACTGCAGCAAATAGTGACAAAGGTGTGCATCTGTCCCACTTCTCATAAAATCTGAGAGGTAGGGATGAAACAAGACAGGGCTGTAGGGGATGGATAAACTTATTTTTATAGCTATTTAGAGCTATTTGCAGGAAATGGGACACCTAGAACAATGGTTTATTTGACAGCATGCCCACAGTATAGCGTAATCTTGACATCACGTAGAGCAACGTAGCAGGGTCATGATTCCCTGCCACTACACAAAGTCATGGGGTTATTAATATTTTAAAATTTTTAAAATTGCAATTACGTCCAGCAAACTTATGATTTTTCAAAATAATGACCTTTTTAAACTACACAGTAAGCACTTCATGAATCTTCACCACTGAAATTAAGTTAAATATTAGGTAGCCGTGAGGGCTTTCTTCCCCCAAAAGGCTACGTGCATCCCTGAATGAAAAAGACTGAGAAAAATTGCACTACAGACTATTTTCAAAACAAATTTATTATGATAATTAAAGGAGGAAGAAAAGCATAGGGACAAGAACACTGAGGAACTGAGCAAAGTCAAGAACATCAAAAGCTGCACTACCACATGGAAGACATTACTGTTTTATTATATTATTCCTGAAAAATAATATTATTTTAGAGAAAGTTCTGATCCAATCACAGTTGCAATGCATTGGGTATGACCTTTACAGGTCATATGTTGAGACTAGAGGGTGCATTTTCATTTCCCACTGAACAGCAGGATGGCAAATCACTTGTGTAAAAAACCCCAAACACCACACTTTAAAGAGATATTAATACTAACTCTTAGCTCAAATAAACTAAAAAAAGAATTTAACTGAAATTTACAAGAGAAATCACCAATTTGGATCACCAATACAATGTTGCATTTTGCCTAATATGCTGACTACTGCTAATGAAGAAACATTTTTTGTTGTCACTATTTCCTGTTGTAACTTTACAGAATGTATGAATACTAAGAGGTCTTGTTTCCAGTAACCACTATACAACAGTTTTAACGGAAGTCAATAAAACGTAATCCAGGTAGCAACCCTGTTTGCAGAAGCCTATTTACTCTTGAAGTAATCCCTTTGAAAAGTCAACAGTATCTGGGGATTTTTATTTTTTTTTTCAGTAACCATATATATAATAAATCAGTCTATTTTAGAAAAAAAGCAGGATCATTTCAAGGGATATTAGGAAAAAAAAAGGACTCACCAAAGGTTCAGCCATTACAACTTCAATTTTCTTTTCAGCTTGAACAGCAAACTCAGCAAAGAGGCTTTTGATGACATACTCGCCAGGTTTGACGTCTGGATCAATTGTAATGTTAGACATGATGATGCCTCTCTTTTCCCAGGTGGAAACAACGCTTGGAGGAACTCTGCGTTTATTTACTCTGCTGGGTGGTGTGGAGGCTACAGAAAAACAAAAAAAAGGAAAAATAAAGAGCGATAAAGTGGACCTTCTACACACAGTGCCTGTCACTTCTTTACATTCCCATCCACCACACAGATGTATTCACACAGTAAATTCTGTAAACCAGAAGAAGGAAATAACCAGCAATAACACTAAACAAGATTTTTTTTTTTTAATTAGGTGGGAAATTCTACCCTAAAGATAAGTTGCATAAGGGTTTACAATGCAACTCATTTTTGTAACTGATAAAAGACAAAATTGTCTTACGCTGTGTGAACAGCCCCATTCTAAACACAACTGTATGATGATCATGATAAAGTTTAGAGCTTGTAATATCTGGTATCTTCAGTACAAGTACAACTAAAAATCAAAAGGTTCAATTTAAAGGGTTCTCTCTCTATTCTGATCCAAGTTTTAGAAATAGTCCATGAAGTTCAAGTTTCTACTTGGTGTCCAACTATCTTCAAGAGAAATACTTCCTTGGCCCCTCTTGGCACTTTTTGTCATTAAGCTGATTTTCCTAACAAGAACACAAACCCTTTCTAGACATGTCATGATAACTTATTTTTCTCTACTCTCTAGTCACAAATCTGAATCCATTGCTCCTTGTCAGAAATATTAATTGATCAATATAAATAACACTGGATATAGGAGTCTCCCTCTCTAAGGATTAGTGCTTTCACTCTTACACTGAAATTGTCATATACTAGATTTATATATATTTATCCACCTTCACTTTTATTTTTCTCCCTAAGCACTCCTTATCACAGAGCTGCCACCCAGTGTGAATTGCAGTACCCAAAATCAAGTATTAGAATTCACTCATACATGTGTTTAACACACACACAACAATTAGAGTAAATTATTACAATTTTTGTCTTGCACACTAGAAATAAAAATAACTACTGTGATCTCTAAGGATGCCACAGATCAATCCAGAGAAGTCTGACATTTCTCCATCATATTCCATAATTGCAGACATTATTTTTTTAATTGATATTAGGAATTGATATTAAGAATTCTTACCTATTAAGATTTTATTTTCCTAAGATAATTGCATAGGAGCCTTGTCTTAGGCTACTTTACTGTATTACATACCATGACTTGTTCAGGTAAGCTTCTTTAAGGCTTTTTGCAGTTAAAGTGTGAGGAGCTGCACTTGGCCAATTCTGATGACCTTTAAAATTTTTGTGTGTTTTTAAATTGTACATTTGCAATTCCTATTAACTAAATATTATCCACAATTTTTACTCAAACATTTTTTCAATGTTCAACTCATTCATGACAATACTGGTTGCCACCGAGACCAAACCTTTGGTACTTGACTTCACATCTTCCCAAGTTGAGTCTCAGCCACTCATAATTTCTTCTAGCACTTCAGAAAGTTCTACATAACTCTGACTTCCTCAACTTCCATAGAAAGTATTTATTTATCAAACACATTGTTGAAGTAAAAAACAATTTGGCATGAAAGAAAACAGAACAGTCACAACTACCTCAGCCTCTAATCAAAAAGGAAAGTTACCTTGCATAAGGTTGGGAGTACTACATATGACCTGTGTTTTTTCCTCTAAGTACTTTTTGTACAAACTTGCTGTTTAGTTGGAGTAATGCTTATTTTTTCCTGTACATAAATTGCACCATGCCATCTTCGAGGCTGGAAGGACCTGCCAAGGTCACAGAGCTGAGGTTCCCAGGGGGCAACACCAGAACAACATGCATGCACACTACATGCAGAATCACAGAACTGCCTAGATTGGAAAAGATCTTTAAGATCATCGAGTTCAATCATTAACCCAACACTGACAACTCCCTGGCCAAACCATGTGCCTAAGCACCATGTCTACACAACTCTTAAATACCTCCAGGGACGGGGACTCCACCACTGCCCTGGGTAACCCATTCCACTGAGAACCCTTTCAGTAAAAAACTTCTTCCTAATATCCAATCTAAACTTCCCTTGGTGCAACTTGAGGCCATTTCCTCTTGTCCTATCAAAAATCGTCCTACTATATGCATTTCTGAACATCCTCTAGAACTCTGATCTAGCACTTTGATCTCAGAAACAGAGGTCCCAAAAAGACACAGAAGAGCATGTGCCACACAGCACAGGCAATGGGAGATCAAAGACACTGACATGTTCTAGATCTCTATGCTGGAAGTTCGCTAGATGAAAGTACACAAAGGTGTTAGTGCATGCTGCAAAGAAAGGTGACAACCCAAAATATCTGACTTGAAGGAAAAATTCTTTCTTATTCCCTGTCTAATGACTGGCTTGTCCCTCAGTACAGAAGCATAAACATGTCATGTGCTTCAAAAAATATTTAATTTCATTACAACATCTATGTTCTCTAGCATCTGTGCTCCTGTCACTCTTAAGACTTGATGCTTCCAAAAGCAGCCCAGGAAATGAGAGAGATGCACTATGCATCAAGAATGAGAGCACAGAGGTCTCAGGGGAGAAAAAGCACACAGAAGGAATATATTCTTCCAAGCCATAGTAGGTAACAGAAACACTAAGTACAAGACTGACTAAACAGAAAAAAGCTGCAACACACAGATTTTGAACTCTCCTTTCATATCTCTCTGCAGGTGAACAAAATAAAAAAATCAGGTACTTAAGGACTTCTAACAGATACCACACATTTCTAAGTAAACAGTTGCTTCTATCCTAAATACGAGAGTTTCTAAGAAAGCTAAAGCTTTGTTCTAATCAACAAACAAACTGGACTCCATTATTTCAAATCACATATTGAAGCTAACAGACTGGAAAGAAATGAGACTTTTAAATCTCCTATTGAACATCATTAGCTGTGTCTGGTCAGAAGAAACACAGCAAAGCAACTGCTTTGGCTCCTTCTAGACTTACCTACTCAAGTGTGCCACAATCCCCACATTATCAGGACTGGGGACTTAAGGGAACATGCCACAGCTCTGATTGAGCCCATTCTTCTAAACAAGGAGCTGGTACTCAATCAGCTCTTGTCTCTTTACAGGGAAACTGGGAAGGACTAACACGCTCCTAATGCAGAACTACATTTAGACTTGCCTTACATGCATACATGTCTCAATAGTGTGCTTTTCTATCGATACATTTCTATCTTGTTTTCAAAAGATTGCCTTTGAAAGCCCCTGTCATTTAAGAATTGAGAAAACATTAAGAGATGATTATCTTCAAAATACTTTATTTATTTTGCATTAGTGAACTACTCTTCAGTAAGAGGCCGCCTTAGTATGTTAACTTTCAAAGCTACAAAACAGCTTCTTTCACTAAGGATGAAACTCCAAGGCTGTTTAGGCTGACCTAAACCCAGGCAAATCCTCTTCCCGGGCTCATGCAGCAACTTAGGAAATCAACTCAAAATGGGTAAACTGGACAAAAACCTAACCCTGGCAAGGAAAAAAGAGGCAATTGGACTACAACCAAACCAGCTCCCAGAAGCGTTGCAGAAATTTCAGTGCAAGGCAGAGGGGATGACCATGAGCCAGGGGAACATGATACCAGCACAGCCTTACATCAGCCTGCAACGCCAGGGACCCACTCCTTGGATACATTTTCACACAGCCCCCCTTCAGATGGCATAAGCTGCAGTACTGTCAAAGGATGCAACCCCTCCCAATGCTTCCCTGGAGCTGTGTAATTAACTGAACTGGAAAAGCAGCAGGTTTTTCCCCAGGTTAATTTTGACACAATCAGTTGTCCAATTCACTCACCACATGACCACACATACACTTGTGCCAGCACAAAGAGGAGAGTCAGTGCAGGAACAGCACTTGCCTTTTTACTCTTCCAGCAGCAAAGCAGAGTTAAGGCTACCCTGCAGCCCTACATGTCACTAATCTGTGTGTTCACATGCACAAACTCTTTAGTTGGTAATAAAACTCCCCCAAGAAACAAGGGGAAAATGTGAAACAAGCAATTAAATGGTGCCATGAGAGGATGACAAATATCTTAGTTTTGCTGAAATGCCAGTGTATTCAAAAGGCAGAATAAATGAACAGGATTTACTTTCATCTATGAACTTGCTGAGGACTCTCATTCATGACAGCATTAATGGTTCACATTAAGACTCTTGCCTTGTATATGCAATGTTCATGATTTCATCTGCTATGTAAAATCAGTGAGTTAGTTAAACACACGCAGGAAAAAAAAAAACACCCAGAAGGGAAAAAGGGGAGGGAGCCTGACTGTGTTTAATAAGAAGACATATGATAGCTCCTTAAAGAAAAGACAAAATATATTATCAGATTTCTTAACTAGGTCAAACAACATTATTATCTGGTATAATTATGTTCAGTGGGATTCATTTACTCATGAACTTGCAATTGATAACACTGTAAGAAGGGTTTACATGGACCTTAAATAGTGTGTTTAACAGAAAGAAAAATCTCATAACAGGACAGGATTAAATAATTACTTTCTGCTATTCTTTGTCATCAAAACATGAGCCACCCTCTATTCTTAGCTGCCAGAGAAAATTTAAGTTTCAAACACTGTTCTGCAGCTTCAAAACATGGACCATTCTACAGAAGTTCAGACAAAATCTGGTAACAAAAAAATCGTACCACTCGCAACGGTTCAGAACCAAAAAAACTACTTTCACAAATCTCTGGAAAACAGTGAACGTTATTCACTTGAAACAATATCCTGTTTGTTTGCTCTGATGTGAGTTACAGCAAGTGCTACGTGGGAAATCTGGGAGCAAGTGCTGTAGGAAATCTCTGTTAAACGGCATTGTTTGGTTGCTAGGGCCACACCAAATTGTTTGGATAGCTTCAAGGAACACTAAAACAATACAAAGGAAAATTAGACAGACATCATACTCTGAGGTGAAAAGGGAACACACCTTGATGAGAAATAAAGTTGTTTCACGTTAAACACATGTGTCCAGAATTAGGAAAGGTTACTTAGTACCCAAGCTGATATTAAAGAATGCTATTTTTATCAAGCTGCTTCTCTCTTTATAGCCCAAACACATCAAGTATTTGAAGA